CACCCTCCATCTCCCCCCCCCCCCCCCCCCCGTCAGCACCCTCCATGTCCCTGCCAGCGCTCCCGGGGCTCCCCTCCCCGGGGTCCTCTCCCCGTCCGCAGAGCTGGGTGAGCGTGACAGGCCTGTGCCCAGCACTGGCCCAGGCGGGCCCTGCCGCCCGCCTGGCAGACCCGTCCACCCCGGGCCATCGGAAGGAAGGCCGGAGGAGCCGCGCCAGCGATCCCTGCGCCTCAGGCCCGCTTCCCTGCCCCCCCGCCCAGCGCTCCCCTTGGCCCCAGGCTCCCAGCTCACTGCAGCCCCCGCCCGGACACAGGCGGTGGTGGCGGTTGTGGCCTCCTGCCCGGCCCTCCTCCCAGCAGGGGAAGGGGGGGGGGGAGGGCTCTCCCTGGAGGCCGCGAGGGAGGGAGGGAGGGAGGGAGGGAGGGAGGGAGCGCACGCCAGCAAAGGGTCTGAGGTGGAGCTGTCACAGTGCTTTGGCTTTTTCTGGAAGGGGCCCTTCGTGGCCAGAGCCCCAGGCCCCTGCCCTCTGGCCCCTCCTCTCCTCTCGCGGACACACCACTGCTCAGGAAGCTTTATTGGAAGTGCTTGGGCCTCTCCGCCCCCATCATCCACTGGCCTCAGGCCTGACGCCCGCCCGTCCTGGGCTCTCCTTTGGCCCGTGGTCCGCACCGGGAGGTCCCGCTGGAGTGCATTCGGGCTGGTGTGGGGGGGGGGGTGAGGACGGTGGGGGGGTAGGACGGTGGTGTAGGGGATGGTGTTGGGGTGGAGTAGGAGTTGAGGGTGTTGAGGGCGGTGTGGAGTGAGGGACGGTGGGGGGGTGGGTGGCTTCCTTTTTTGGTGTGGGTGTTAGGAGGGTTGGGGGGTGGGGTGAGGACGGTGTGTGGGTGGGTGATGATGGTGGGGGGTGGGGTGGGAGGATGGTGGAGGTTGGGGGGGGAAGGGCGGTAGGGGGGTGGAGGGGGCGGTGGGGGGTGGGACGGTGGGGGGAGGCGGACGGTGGGGGTAGGTGACAGAGACAGTGGGGGTGGTGGGGGTGAGGGCGGTGGGGGGGTTAGGGCCGGTGGGATGGGAGTGCGGACGGTGTGGGTGAGCGTGAGGACAGTGTGGGGGGTGGGGTTGGCGGGCGGTGGGGGGTGGGAGTGTGGGGCGGTGGGGTGCTGTGGGGTGGTGGGGGTGGGGTTAGGGTGGTGGGGGTGTTGAGGACGGTGGGGGTGGTGAGGGGTGGTGGGGTGTGTTTGTGAGGACGGTGGGGGGGGTGGTAGTGAGAGGATGGATGGGGGTTCGATGGGGGAGGGCTGGTGGGGGTTGGGGGGGGCGGGGGGGGGTGAGGGGCGGGGGGGGGTGAGGGCGGGGGGTGGGGGTGGGAGGGGCAGTGAGTTGGGAGAGGGTGGCATGCAGGGACCCGGCTTGGGGAGGGGTGGCCGCCCCCGCGCTAGGCCTGGCCGGGCCGGATGCCGGGCCTCGCTGCTTGCCACGTTGCTCATGAGCTGCTGCACGTAGGAGGTCAGGCAGGTTCGTCAATCTTGTAGCCCTGGCAGGGGGGGGCGGAGGCTGTGGGTCCAGGGGGCGCGGCCAGCCGGCGCCCGGCCGCCCGCCGCGGGGCGGAGCCTCTACTCACCAGCGAGGTCTCGCACAGCAGGCGGCCGCCGCGGCCCAGGCTGTGCCCAGCACCATGTGGGAAGTAGGTGCTGCCGCTGCTCCAGCTGGCGATCTTGGTGAAACGGGTAGGTGGCGAGCACGCTCCTGGGGCACAGGGGCGCTGAGGGCGGCGGCCCGGGCGGGCGGCCGGCGAGGGCCCCGCCCCGGCCCGGCCCGCCCCCCCACCCCACCCAAACCGCCCCAGCCACCCGGCCCGACCCCAGCCCGCCACACCCCGCCCGGCCCGCGCCCGGCCCCCACACCGCCGCCCCGGCCCCCGCCCCACGGACCCCCACAACGACCCGAAACGCCCCGGCCCCTGCCCCGCCACGCCCCGCCCCCACCACATCCCACGTGCCCGCGCCAGCCCCGGCCCGCCCGGACTCCATCTACACCCCCACACCCGGCCCGGCCCGCCCCGGCCCGCCCCCTCACCCCGCCTCGCCCCGCGCCCTGCCGCCGCCCCGGCCCTGTCCCCGCCACACACCCCGCCACCGCCCCGGCCCCGCCACCCAGACCCCACGCCTTGCGCCCCGCCCCTCGCCCCCGCCCGGCCCGCCCGGGCCGCCCTCGACCCCACCCACCCCGCCCGGGCCCGCCCCGGCCCGCCACCAGACCTCGCCCGGCCCTGCCCCGGCCCGCCCGGCCCCCACACCCCGCCCGGCCCGCCCCGCCACCGCCCCGCCCTCGCCCCCGCCCCGCCCCCCGGCCCGGCCGCCCCGCCCCGCCTCCACACCCCACCCCCGCCCCCCCCCCCCCCCGGCCCGGCCCGCCGGACCCTCCCACACCCCGCCCCGCCCCGGCCCCGCCCCGGCCCGCCCGGCCCCCACACCCGCCCGGCCCCGGCCCGGCCCCGCCCCGGCCCCCCACACCCGCCCCGGCCCGCCCGGCCCGCCCCGGCCCCTACACCCCGCCCGGCCCGCCCCGGCCCGCCCCGGCCCCTCACCACCCCGCCGGCCCCGCCCCGGCCCGCCCCGGCCCCCCCACACCCCGCCCGGCCCGCCACCCGCCCGCCCGCCCCCCACACCCGCCAGGCCCCGCCCCCACCCCGCCCTGGCCCCGCCACCACCCGGGCCCGCCCCGGCCCCACCCGCCCGCCCCGCCCCCCCGGCCCACCCGGCCGCCCCGGCCCCACCCGCCCCACCCCCGCCCCGGACACCCCCCCCCCCCCCCCCCCCCGCCCCGGCCCCACCCGGCCCGCCCGGCCCGTCCCCGGCCCCCACACCCCGCCACGCCCCCGCCCGGACCCGCCCCGGACCCCCCCCCCCCCCCCTGCCCGGACTCCCCGCCCCGGGCCCGGCCCCAGGCCCCGCCCCGCCCTGGCCCCACTCTCTCGCCCGGCCCGGCCCCGCCCGGCCCCCAGCCCCGGCCCCGCCCGGCCCGCCCCGGCCCCCACACCCGCCCGGCCCCGCCCCAGCCCCGCCCCGGCCCCGCCCAGCTCCGTACCTTGGTCTTGGGGTGGATGAGCAGGGACGCCGTGCCGGTTGATGGCCACGAGCACGATGTCGGGGTAGGAGGGCTCCGAGGTTGCTGGGGGGAGAGCGGCGGTCACAGCCGGAGGGCGGACTGCGCCCCGCACCGCCCTCCAGCTGGGCCCAGCTTCGGCCAGCTGCGGTCTGGGAGCTCAGGCTGCCGGCTGGGGGGCGGGACCGCGTGCAAGCACAGGGCACGGGCGGGCGAGACTACCTTCACCTCGAAGAAGGCGGACCCGAAGGTGGGCCAGCGGCTGATCCCCCGCAGGAAGGCCACCTTGGCCTCCTCCGGCGTCTTGTCGCGGTGCTGCTCGCAGGCCAGGAGGATGCTCTGCGGGGAGGGGCGGTGAGGCCAGGCCGGAGGGCTCAGCCCGGGGGTGGGCGCAGGGCGGGTGCACTCAGACCCAGCCCACCAGCCCAGCCCTGGAGGCACCTTTCTCCATTCCTCCGGGGACATCAGGCGCGTGAGGTTCTCGGGCACCAGCTCCCCCAGGACCTTGGGGATGCTCGCCAGCTGGGCCTGGTCGCCGCCGAACTGGGCCTTGTAGATGAGGCTCGCCAGCTGCACCGCGTCCTCCCGCGGGCACTTGTGGAACCCACGCAGGTACTTGGGCAGCTCCTGGGCGAGGGACACGGGCCTCAGGCTGCTGCCCCCTGCGCCTCCTCCCTGCGCCCCCCTCCTGTGCCCCCTGTGCCCCCTCCTGTGCTCCTACCTGCGCCCCCTTCCTGTGCCCCCTGTGCCCCCTCCTGTGCCTCCTCCCTGCGCCCCCCTCCTGTGCCCCCCTGCGCCCCCTGTGCCCCTCCTGTGCCTCCTCCCTGCGTCCCCCTGCTGTGCCCCCCTGCACCCCCTGTGCCCCCTCCTGTGCCTCCTCCCTGCGCCCCCCTCCTGTGCCCCCCTGCGCACCCCCTGTGCCCCTCCTGTGCCTCCTCCCTGCGCCCCCCTGCTGTGCCCCCCTGCACCCGCTGTGCCCCCTCCTGTGCCCCCCCTCCCCCGGCGGCAGGTGGCAGGGCTGCCCCCGCCGGGGCCGAGCAGCAGGAAGCAGAGGTTCCTGCAGGGCAGCGGGTGGCGCGGTGTCCTGTGTGGACCCGGTGGAAGGCCTGTGGGTGCGGACGGGCAGCCAGCAGGGCCCTCAGCGGGGTGGGCGGGGCGGGCCCGGAGCCTCGCACCTGGTGGTAGTGGAGCACGGTGTCCGCGCGCACATCCTTCCCGGGGGCCACGCCCAGCCACAGTTTGCGCATGAAGTACACCTGGTAGGGGAGCGTCAGCGGGGCCCCTGGGGGCCGCAGTGAGCACAGCCTGCCGGCCTGCGCCGCCACCCGCCCTGCCGCCCGCCAGCTGCTCCCGGACCCCGCCTGGGCCTCCCGTCCAGCCCCGGCCCGCACCCCTGCCTGCCCGGCCCGCCCTCGGGGCCCACCTTCCTTCTGGGGCTTGCTCCTCTTCACCCAGTCCGCCACCTGGCGCAGCGAGTCGAAGAAGAAGTCTCCCTCCTTCTGGCTGATGACCTGGGGGGCGCGCTGTTCAGGGAAGGGCCCTCCTGGGGCAGGCATGTGGGCTGTGAGACCCCCCGGCCCCCGCCCCCCCTCAGTACCTTGTCTGCGATCTTGATGAAGAGGCTGCAGCCCTCCCAAGAGGCCAGCTGCAGCCTGGCGGCCACGTCCGCACACACATCCCGCACCCGGGTGTGGGCGCTCACCTCCAGCATCTGGGGAGAGCGGCCGCTCAGCACAGGCCCCCACGGCCTGCTTCCAGACTACGGGCCGGAGGCACAGGCGGACGACTGCACTCCTGGCCGCAGAGGGCAGCCTCCGAACCCGCCTTCGGAGCCCAGAGGCACTGTGGGCCTTCGCAGGGGCTGCCCCAGCATCAGGGCTGCACGCCGGCCTGTGCTGCTGCCCTGGCCTTCTGCCCTGTGCCTCTGCCCTGTGCCTCTGCCCTGTGCCCACTGCCTGTGCCTCTGCCCTGTGCCTCTGCCCTGTGCCCACTGCCCTGTGCCTCTGCCCTGTGCCCACTGCCCTGTGCCCACTGCCCTGCGCCCACTGCCCTGTGCCCACTGCCCTGTGCCCATCCACTGCCCTGTGCCCTCTGCCCTGTGCCTCTGCCACTGCTGTGCCTCTGCCCTGTGCCCTCGCCTGTGCCTCATCTGCCCTGTGCCTCTGCCCTGTGCCCACTGCCCTGGGCCTCTTGCCCTTGCCCACTGCCCTGTGCCTCTGCCCTGTGCCCACTGCCCTGTGCCTCTGCCCTGTGCCTCTGCCCTGTGCCCACTGCCCTGTGCCTCTGCCCTGTGCCCACTGCCCTGTGCCTCTGCCCTGTGCCCACTGCCCTGTGCCTCTGCCCTGTGCCTCTGCCCTGTGCCCCCTGCCTCTGCCCTGTGCCCACTGCCTGTGCCCACTGCCCTGTGCCACTGCCTGTGCCTCTGCCCTGTGCCCCCTGCCCTGTGCCTCTGCCCTGTGCCCGCTGCCCTGTGCCCACTGCCCTGTGCCTCTGGCCTGTGGCCTCTGCCCCTGTGCCTCTGCCTGTTGCCCACTGCCCTGTGCCCACTGCCCTGCTGTTGCCTCGCCCTGTGCCCCCTGCCCTGTGCCCGCTGCCCTGTGCCCCCACTGCCCTGTGCCCCTCCTGCCCTGTGTCCACTTGCCCTGTGCCCCACTTGCCCTGGTGCCTCTGCCCTGTGCCCACTGCCCGGTGCCCACTGCCCTGTGCCCACTTGCCCTGTGCCTCTGCCCTGTGCCCCTGCCCTGTGCCCCACTGCCCTGTGCCCACTGCCCTGTGCCTCTGCCCTGTGCCCCCCTGCCCTGTGCCTTCTGCCCGGCCCTGCCCTGGGCCTCTGCCTGTGCCCACTGCCCGTGCCTCTGCCCTGTGCCCACTGCCTGTTGCCTCTGCCCTTGGCTCTTGCCCTGTTGCCCGCTGACTGGGCCTCTGCCCTGTGCCCACTGCCTGTGCGCTGCCCTGTGCCTCTGGCCCTGTGCCCACTTGCCGTGCCTCTGCCCTGATGCCCACTGCCCTGTGCTCTGCCATGTGCCCACTGCCTGTGCTCTGCCCTGTGGACTCTGCCCTGGGCCTCTCCTGTGCCCGCTGCTGGGCCTCTGCCCTGTGCCCGCTGCCGTGCCTCTGCCTGTCCCGCTGCCTGTGCCTCTGCCCTGTGCCTCTGGCCCTTGTGGCCCACTTGCCCTGTGTGCTCTGCCCTGTTTGCCCCCTGCCCTGTGCCTCTGACCTGTGCCTCTGCCCTGGCCTCTGCCCTGTGCCCACGCCCTGGGCCTCTGCTCCTGTGCCCCTGCCCTGTGCCTCTGCCCTGTGCCTCTGCCCTGTGGCCCCATGCCCTGTGCCTCTGCCCTGTGCCCTCTGCCCTGGGCCTCTCGCCCTGTGTCCACTGCCCTGGGGCCTCTGCCCTGTGCCCCCTGCCCTGTGCCTCTGCCCTGTGCCTCTGCCCTGTGCCCACTGCCTGTGCCTCTGCCCCTGTGCCTCTGCCCTGTGCCTCTGCCCTGTGCCCACTGCCCTGTGCCCCCTGCCCTGTGCCCACTGCCCTGTGCCTTGCCCTGTGCCTCTGGCCCTGTGCCCACTGCCCTGTGCCCACTGCCCTGTGCTCTGCCTTGGCTGGTGCCCCCTGCCCTGTGCCCACTGCCCTGTGCCCACTGCCTGTGCCTCTGCCCTGTGCCCACTGCCCTGTGCCCACTGCCCTGTGCCCACTGCCCTGTGCCTCTGCCCTGTGCCCCCTGCCCTGTGCCCACTGCCCTGTGCCCACTGCCTGTGCTCTGCCCTGGGCCCCCTGCCTGTGCTCTGCCTGTGACTGCCCTGGGCCCTCTGCCCTGTGCCCACTGCCATGTGCCTCTGCCCTGTGCCCACTGCCCTGTGCCTCTGCCCTGGGCCTCTGCCCTGTGCCCGCTGCCTGGGCCTCTGCCCTGTGCCCACTGCCTGTGCCGCTGCCTGTGCCTCTGCCCTGTGCCCACTGCCTGTGCCTCTGCCCTGTGCCCACTGCCCTGTGCCTCTGCCCTGTGCCCACTGCCTGTGCCTCTTGCCCTTGTGCCTCTGCCCTGGGCCTCTGCCCTGTTGCCCGCTGCCTGGGTCTCTGCCCTGTGCCCACTGCCTGTGCCTCTGCCTGTGCCATGCCTGTGCCTCTGCCCTGTGCCTCTGCCCTGTGCCACTGCCTGTGCCTCTGCCCTGTGCCCCCCTGCCCTGTGCCTCTGCCCTGTGCCTCTGCCCTGGGCCTCTGCCCTGTGCCCACTGCCCTGGGCCCCCTGCCCTGTGCCACTGCCTGTGCCTCTGACCCTGCTGCCTCTGCCCTGGCCCCCTGCCGGTGCCTCTGCCCTGTGCCTCTGCCCTGGGCCTCTGCCCTGTGCCCCCTGCCCTGGGCCTCTGCCCTGTGCCCCCTGCCCTGTGCCTCTGCCCTGTGCCTCTGCCCTGTGCCCACTGCCTCTGCCCTGTGCCCACTGCCCTGTGCCCACTGCCTGGCCTCTGCCCTGTGCCCACTGCCCTGTGCCCACTGCCCTGTGCCTCTGCCCTGTGCCCACTGCCCTGTGCCCACTGCCCTGTGCCTCTGCCCTGTGCCCCCTGCCCTGTGCCTCTGCCCTGTGCCTCTGCCCTGTGCCCACTGCCCTGTGCCCACTGCCTGTGCTCGCCTTGCCTCTGCCCTGTCCCACTGCCCTGGTGGCCTCTGCCTGTCCCCATTGCCTGTGCCCACTGCCCCTTGCCTCTGCCCTGTCCCACTGCCCTGTGCCCACTGCCCGTGCCACTCCTGTGCCTCTGCCCTGTGCCACTGCCCTGTCCCACTGCTCTGTGCCCACTGCCCTGTGCCTCTGCCCTGTGCCCACTGCCCTGTGCCCACTGCCTGTGCCTCTGCCCTGTGCCTCTGCCCTGTGCCCGCTGCCTGGGCCTCTGCCCTGTGCCCACTGCCCTGTGCCCGCTGCCTGGGCCTCTGCCCTGTGCCCCCTTCCCTGTGCCCGCTGCCCTGTGCCCCCTTCCTTGTGCCCGCTGCCCTGTGCCTCCTGCCCTGAGCCCGCTGCCCTGTGCCTCCTGCCCTGAGCCCGCTGCCCTGTGCCCCCTGTGCCCGCTGCCCTGTGCCCACTGTGCCCACTGCCCTGTGCCCGCTGCCCTGTGCCCCCTGCTCTGAGCCCGCTGCCCTGTGCCCCCTTCCCTGTGCCCGCTGCCCTGTGCCTCCTGCTCTGAGCCCGCTGCCCTGTGCCTCCTGCCCTGAGCCCGCTGCCCTGTGCCCCCTGTGCCCGCTGCCCTGTGCCCACTGTGCCCACTGCCCTGTGCCCGCTGCCCTGTGCCCGCTGCCTCTGGAGCCGGCTTCACACTCCCCAGCAGCCCCTCCTGGCCTGGCCCAGAGCCCCCGGGTGCACTGTTCATGGTGAGGGCGCCAGTGCCCTGGGCGGACAGCTTCTGGGGTCCCCACTCCTTGGGTGAGCAGGGCCCTGCTCTGGCGGGCTCACCTGGGAGGTGGGGGGCTCACCTGAGAGGTGGGGGGGTTCACCTGGGAGGTGGGGGGCTCACTTGAGAGGTGGGGGGGTTCACCTGGGAGGTGGGGGGCTCACCTGAGAGGTGGGGGAGTTCACCTGGGAGGTGGGGGGCTCACTTGAGAGGTGGGGGGGCTCACCTGGAGGTGGGGGGGCTCACCTGAGAGGTGAGGGGGTTCACCTGGGAGGTGGGGGGGGCTCACCTGGGAGTGGGGGGGCTCACCTGGTGGTGGGGGGCTCACCTGGGAGGTGGGGGGGCTCACCTGGGAGGTGGGGGGGCTCACCTGGGTGGGGGGGTTCACCTGGGAGGTGGGGGGCTCACCTGGGTGGTATGGGGGGGCTCACCTGGGTGGGGGGCTCACCTGGGTGGGGGCTCACCTGGGTGGGGGGCTCACCTGGGTGGAGGGGCTCACCAGGGTGGTATGGGGGGGCTCACCTCGGTGGGGGGGCTCACCTGGGTGGTGGGGGGCTCACCTGGGAGGTGGGGGGGCTCACCTGGGTGGTATGGGGGGCTCACCTCGGTGGGGGGCTCACCTGGGTGGTATGGGGGGGCTCACCTCGGTGGGGGGCTCACCTGGGAGGTGGGGGGCTCACCTGGGTGGTGTTGTTGGGGAGGAAGACCTTGTGGCAGATGCGGGAGATGTTCTGCTCGGCCGCCTCCACCTCCACCTGGTGGGGGGGCTGCTTCCGGGGGCCGGTCCTGGAACAGCAGGCACGCTGCGCGCCGTCCTCCCGCGCCCCGTCCGCTCCCTCTGCACTCCCTGCCCGCAAGGGCGGAGGCGCCTCCCTGTGACCGGCTCTGAGGGCCTGTCCGCCCTCCCGGCCCAGGGCACGGCTCAGGCAGAGCCGGACCAGGCTGTCCGGCGGCTGGGTAGGAGGCAACAGGCTGCTCTGACCAAGCGGAGGGGTGGCTTGGGGTGCCGGTCACCCGCGGCCGGAGGCAGGGCCCTCCTGCCTGGAAGGCAGCCGTGGGCGAGCTGGTGGCCAGGCTGCGCCCTCCGCGGCTCCTTCCCCCGGCGCCCGCTCACCTCAGGGCCCGCTGCACGCGGCGGCTGCAGTCGGGGGCCAGGGGCCGCGCCCTCCGGGCGTCCAGGAACTTGTGCACGTGCGGCAGCAGCGCCTTGCCGGGCGGGAAGAGGCCGGTGCAGAGCCACAGCAGCTGCCAGCCCCGCTCCTCGCTGTGCCTGCGGCAAAAGAGCCCGCTGGACTGCGGGGCCGGCCGCCCGGCCCCCGCCCCGCCGCCCAGGCCTCCCCCCCGGCCGGCCGAGCTGCTGCTGGCCCTTCTCGTGGTTAGAGGCCAGGGGCGCCCGAAGGTGACCGCCCCAGGAAGTCCGCAGGCCGGACGCGTGCCAGCGGCTGTGGCTGCTCGGAGTGCCTGGCGGGGTGTGTGGCTGCCCCCCTCCCGCAGCGGGCACAGCCGGGCGGTGAGGACGGAGCCCGCGCACCTCCTGGTGTTGTGCGTCAGCTGCTTCAGGATCTGGCAGTAGACCTCGTCCTGCAGGGCGGCCTCCTGCAGGGCCCCCGCGAAGATCTGGTCGGTGAGCTCCAGGGAGGCCCAGGCCTGCCTGGTCGGGTAGTCGCCCATGTACCGGAGGATGCGTGTGGCGTCAGGGAGGATAGCTGCTGGCAGGCCCGCCCGCGCCCGTGCCCACGCCCGCCGCCCGCGCCCGCGCCCGTGCCCACGCCCGCCGCCCGCGCCCGCGCCCGCCGCCCGCGCCCGCGCCCGCCGCCCGCGCCCGCGCCCGCCGCCCGCCGCCCGCGCCGCCCGCCGCCCGCGCCCGCGCCCGCCGCCCGCGCCCGCCGCCCGTGCCCAGCGCCCGCCGCCCGCGCCCGCGCCCGCCGCCCGCGCCCGCGCCCGCCGCCCGCGCCCGCGCCCGCGCCCGCCGCCCGCCGCCCGCCGCCCGCGCCCGCGCCCGCCCGCCGCCCGCGCCCGCGCCGCGCCCGCGCCCGCGCCCGCGCCCGCGCCCGCGCCCGCGCCCGCGCCCGCCGCCCGAAGGATATCGATGAAGCTCTGGCACGCGGCGTCCCGCAGCTCCGCGGTGGCGTGGACGCGCCGGAGCAGCGGCTGCCGCAGGGGCTCCGGGCTGTGCGCCCACAGGCGGCCCCGGGCGCGGGCCAGGCTGGCCACGGCTCTGCTGGCCGGCTCCTTCTCCGGGGCCCTGGCCGGCGGACAGAGCGGTGAGCCTCTGCCTCCGCCCTCCGGCCCGCCCGCCTGCACCTGCGGGGAGGGAGCCCAGCGCGGTGCCTGCATGGGGAGGCTCTGAGGGCTGGGGTGGGCACCTGAAGAACGAGTAGGAGAACTCCTCCAGGGTGTACAGCTTCTCGGGCGCCTGCTCCTCGGGGGGAGCCTCTGCGGGCGGCCTCGCCTGGGCGGCCAGCTTCCGCTTCTCCGGGGACATGGCCAGCAGGCTCTGCGGGGCACAGGCGTGGGCGCCCGGGGCCGCGCCCACAGGCCCTCCCGCGGCTGGGGGGCAGGCCCACGGGGCTGGCGGCACCGGCACCTCCCTCTGCCTCCCTCTCGGGGCTCGGCCACCAGCTCCCTCCGGGCGCCTCTCCTCGGCCTCTCTCCTCCCTGCCGCCCTCCAGGAGGCCTCTCCCAGGCGCCTCCGGCAGAGTCCGGGGTGGGGGTGGGGGGAGGGCCCTGTGTGCTCAGCTGGGAGTGCAGGCGAGGGTGGGAGGGGGTGGCTCTGCAGGCAGGGAGGCTTGGCCCCTGGGTCAGGGCTTCAGTGAGGCTGTGGCTGGGGGGGGGGGGGTTTGTTCCCAGGACACACCCGTGGTGGGGGGTGGAGGGTGGAGGGTGCCCACTCACGGAGCCTGTGGTCCCGGCACCGTCTTGGGCACGGCGCCGATGCCGCCAGCCTCACGGCGGACCGGTGCCAGGCGGCCCCGCTGCCATGTGGTGGGAGGAGGCCGAGCTGAGACCCCTGGGCACCCCGTTGGGCAGTTACCAGCAGCTGTGCTGACGGCTTGGTGAGCGTGGGGATGGTGTAGAGGTGGGCGGCCAGCACCAGCCCTGTCCTGCCCGTCCTGTCGTTCTGGCCCGGGACCCAGTCCCCGGCCGCCAGCAGCCCCGCGCTCTTCGTCAGGACCAGCAGATCGCCCTTCGCGCAGGGCAGGAGGGCGGCGTCGCCTGCGCGGGCCAGAGGAGAAAGCTGCTGGCCGCGCTGTGCGGGACCCTGCGCGATGAGCCTGGGCAGAGCTGAGGCCGGCTCGCTGACGGGACTCCCCGCGGGCCCTGACAGGCCAGGAGCCGCGGCCGGCATGGCAGGGGCGCATGGACAAGGGGGAGATGCCCGCTGGCCTCGCCAGCCAGCCTGGGGCTGTGTGACCCTCGTCCGCAGTGACTTACAGCCCTTCCCCGGGAGGGGTGGGACGACTGGGTGCAGGTTCTCCCCGCCTCCCAGCCACGCCTGCGCCTCCCGGGAGCTGCCTGGAGCCGCCCTGGTCGACCCTGCATGGCCGCCTCTGCTCCGGCCGCGAGCGGGCAGACAGCAGCTGCTGGGTGCGCCGGGTCAGGCCAGGGCCTGTTCCCTGCAGAGCGGCCTTAGCCCTCTCTGGGAGGCAGGGCGGGCCCCTCCCCCTCTCCGCGCGCCCTCGCCGGCACCTGTGGCCTTCTGGTCCTGCAGCGCCATGGCGAACACGGACCGCGCACGCAGGCCCTCCAGAAGCACGGCCACCAGCTCGGCGATGGCCACGCCGCTGGGCGACAGGAACTCATACTCCTCCTCACGCAGCGTGCAGAGCAGCAGCCGCTGGCCGCCCCGGGCCTCCCTGGGGGCGAGCACCGTGACCTGAGGCCTCTGCCCCGGCCCTCACACCGGTTACAGGTGCGGAGCCAGAGGGCCAGTCTGGGCCGGCAGGGCACCGCCGTGGGGTGGGCAAACGAGGTGAGGCAGGCCCCGGGCCCAGGGCAGCGGTGGTGCCAGCCTGCGCGAGGGCTCAGGGGCAGGCACCGCCGGAGCCGCGGGGAGGCCGTGCGCCAGCTCGGCGAGCTCCCGGCCCCTCGCCCGTGCCCTCGTGGGCAGGCCGCGCGCCGTGAGGACCTCGCACGTGGAGGTGCCCAGCGTGGCCAGCTCGGGACGCGGTGGCCAGTGTGTGCCCGGAGCTGCCGGTAACAGCTTCCGGGGGCCCCAGGGGAGGCATTCTCCGGGCCGGAGCACGGAGAGCGGGGGGCTGAGGCCTGCCCTCGGCCGCTGGGCGCTCGGTGAGCTGGCACGCACCAGCCCCGCGCTCGCCTGCCCGGCCGGGAGGGAGGGAGCTGTGAGGAGTGCACCCCAAGGGGGGTGGCCTGCCCTTCCCGGAGGACTTCCAGGCGCCTGGGCCTGAGGGGGGCTGAGGGCGCGCAGCCGCGGCAGTTGGAGGCCAGGCGGGGGTCAGTGCGCTCTCGCGGTCCACGGCGGTTCTCACCCGCACCCGCGGGCTCCCGGGCGGGGCCGCCTCCCCGCCGCCCCAGGACTGAGCTCCGAGCGGGACAGGCCGGCGCACCCACCTGTGGGCGACCAGACTCATGATCTCGGGGAAGGACAGCTCCAGCAGCGCCCGCTCCCGCTGGTCCAGGAGGGACAGCCCCTTCCAGTTCACGGCCAAGATCAGCTGAGTCCTGGGCAGCCGAGGGCCTGGCCGGGAGACGGGTGTGAGGCCGCAGGGCCCCGGCTGCCCGCCCGGCCCGCCCGCCCGCCCCTCTCCCGCACCTGAGCAGGGGGTGACCTCGAAGAGCCGGGAGAAGAGCAGCGGCCACTGCAGGCGGGCGGCGCCCACCACCTGCTCCCGCACGGCCTGCCTCTGGGTGTGCGGCACCTGCTCAGACACGGAGGCACCACCCTCGGCTCAGCACCGGTCCGCCAGCACGCGTGGTGGGAGGCCGGGCGGAGGCCGCCCACGGGCCCGCCCGGCCTCCCGCCCCAGGGCCTCCCGCCCTGCGGAAGAGGGAGGCGGCTTTGCTTTCTGGGCGGACGGGTGGGAGCCGCTGGAGGCTGGGAGCCTGCAGTGCCGCGGCTGGTGCCCCTGCCTGGGGCGAGCCTTGCTCTGGCTGGTGGTCTAAGCGTCCCCGGTGTCCTCGGCGCCTGTCCTCCCTCCGCGTGTTTGGGGGCGCACTCCAGCTCGGCCCCCTCCTGCTGTGCCCCCACCCGTCCTCCCTCCCGCTGCTGTGCGCACCGAACTCCCTTTCCTGTTTGAGTACAGCGTCTCTCGTCCCTGCTTTGAAAGGGGCGGGCACCCGCTCGCTGCTGGGGGGCAGAGCGGGCGCCGGTGGGAGCCTGGCCTGGGCCACACCTCGGCGCCTCCCCAGGGCCCCAGCCTGACCAGTGACCGCGTGTGTTTGACAGTGAAAAGGGAGCCGCTCGCCACCAGGCACCAGAGAAGTGAGTTAGGATTCGTTAATGCGCACACCCAGCCGTTCAATGAACCCAAAACTCAAAAGGAGGCGGGGCGCGGACCGGCCTGTGACCAGCGCTGATGGAAGGGGCCTGGTAGACCTGAGGCCGCAGAGCTGTGCTCCCTGGCAAGCCCCAGCCCCCGCCCAGCCCCGGGAGAGCCAGCGCAGGCTGACCTGGGCCAGGGCGGCGGTGACCAGGCCGGCCCACTGCTCTGGGGGCTTGGTCCGGTACAGCTTCGGGGGCACGCAGCTGGGCAGCAGCCCCTGCACGGCCTCCCTCCGCGCCGCGGCGCCCAGCTCTGCGCAGCAGTGCCGGGCCAGCAGCTCCACCAGCTCTTCCTCCTGCCGGCGAGCGAGACACACGTGAGGGCCAGGCCAGCCCTCGGGCCAGCCGGGAGCAGGAGCACCGCCAGGCCCGTCCTCCTCTGGCAGAACGTGCCCCTCCCACCCAGGGTGCACCCCCGTGCCCTCGGGGACCAGGGTGCTCCTCTCAGCCCTCAGGGAGCCCCGAGGGCAGAGGCCTGGGTGGAACCCTGATGTCCCCGCAAGGTGCGCTGGCCTGTCTCACCAGGCTCCCGGTCACAGGCGGCCAGGGCCCCGGGGGCGGGGGCTCCTGCGAGGCCTCGGAGTGGGTCTGCAGACCCAGACTCAGTCCTAGCTCCAGGCACCCTGCTCCCTGCCCACTGCCCCATCCTCCTGGCCCGGGAGGGGGCGCGCCGGCTCCGCCTCTCCGCCCTCCGGTGCCTCCTTCCCAGGAAGCCGGGCCCTCTGCCCTCCTGGGTGAGGGCCCGAGAGTCTGGGCAGGCTGCCCGAGGAGGCAGGGCGCTCAGCCAGGCCTGCCTCCCGCCAACGGCCGCCTCAGCGAGGCCGGCGGGCCGGGCTGCAGCGGGCGGAGGCGCAGTGGCGGGAGGAGGCCGGAGCCAGGCCCGGCGGGACCGCCCCGGGGCTCACCCTCTCGAAGCTGTACTCGCCGGACCAGACGCCGTGCAGGACTTGGCGGTAGATGAGCTCGGTGCTGACGGCGTCCTCGCTGGGGTCGTGCCAGGGGCTGAAGAACTCCTTCCGGAAGTAGAGGCGCCAGGGCGCCTGGCGCTCGCTCTCGCCCCGCTCCCGCGCCAGCTGCTCGCACTGGCCCACCGCGTCCATCACGTGGTCTCGCCCGCTGCCCAGCGACCAGAACTGAGGGGCGGGCGCGGTCAGGCGCGGGCACCTGCGCTCAGCGCCCGCGGCTCCCACCCCGGGTCGGCGTCTGCGCCCTCCTCTCCCACGGCCCGGGAGGCAGGGCCGGGCCGGCTCACCGCGCGTGGTGCCCTGAGCTCCCTGGCTGGCGTGAGGGAGGCTGAGCCCGGGCACCTGGGTGGGTGAGGATGGGGGTCCGGAGGGGCTGGGCCGAGGGCACGGGCCTCCCCGGGAGGGGGGGAGCAGCAGAGCGTGGGCCAGGAGGACGGGTGCCTGGGGATGAGGCCTTTTTGTGAGTTTGTGTGGGAGAATGTGTGCATGTGGGTATGTGTGTGTGTATGTACGTGTGTGAGTGTTTGAGAAAATGTGTATGCATGTGTGTGAGTGTGCATGACAGAGTGTGTGTATGTGTATATCTGTGGGTGGATGTGTGTAAGTGTATGAAAGGATGTGTGCATGTGAATGTATGTGTCTGTGTGTGAGTATGTATGTGTGTATGTGTGAGTATACTCTGAGTGGCTAGATTATTATGATCTCTGAACACATAATAACCTGGCCACTCAGTGTATATCCAATATAATAAGAGACTAATATGCAATTGCCCCCTCGACCAAAAGTTCGACCAGCAGGCAGACCAGCCAACTGCCCATGTCACGCACCTTGGTCGGACCACACTCATGCACAAATTCATGCCCAGGTCTTAAAAATATATATATTTTACACACACACACACACACACACACACACACACACACTGAGTGGCCAGATTATGATGCGTACAGAGATCATAATAATCTGGCCACTCAGTGTATATGTGTATGTGTGTGAGTGCGTGCATTTGTGTGTGCGTATGTGTATAAGAATGTGCGTGTGAGTGTGCAATGTGACTGAGATCTGCGGACGTGTGTGCGTGTGTCTTGCACACGTGCTGGCCATGGAGGAGAGCAGCGGCAGGCGGCGGGCGGGGCGGGCTGCGCACCTTGTCGTACACAGCGACCTGGAGGGAAAAGCCCAGGGGGTCGCGGAGGCCCTGCTGGCGGGCGATGTGCAGGCAGACCTCCTGCGAGGTGGAGGCCGAGTCCACGGTGACGGTCAGGCTCTCCCCCGTCGGCAGCACCACGTGCACCGGGATGTGCTTCCTGGACTTGACAGCCTGGAAGGCGAGGCAGTCCCTGGGCCCGGCAGCTCCGCGCCCGCTCGCCCAGAGCTCGGCCGGAAGGGCTGCTGCCGCCCTATGGCCGCGGAGGGGGCAGGCAGCCCCTGCTGTCCTCGGGGCAGCCCTGAGCTCTGGGGCCGAGTGGCTGAGAATCAGAGGCTCAGAAGAGCCCGGGCAGTTCCCCGCCCCAGACTCTGGAACTGCTGACACCTGGGAGCCATATTCCCCCTGCGTGCGCACCACAGGGCGCGGGCACCGGACAGCACCACAGCACACGCGCAGCCCAGGGCTCGGGCGAGCAGCCGCGAGGAAGGAGGGCGGGACAGGACCACCGGACGCGGGTGCGAGATCTCGGGGCCCTGTGAGATCTCGGCCCTCACGGTGCGGCCCGCGCCCAGGCTGACAGCGCCCGCTGCCTCCAGCAGCCACCCCCTCGCCAGTGCTCACTGGCAGGCCCCACGGACGGGCCTGACACGGGCCCAGCCTGGCGGAGCTCACAGGGGTCGTGGCTCAGAAGCTCCCCAAGTGGGTGGAAGAGGCCAAGGACATGCTTCCCGCTGGCAGGACCCAAGAAGGCACCCCCAGACCTGGGCTAGAAGAGCGCAGGGTCTGACACCATCCCACCCTGACCATCTCCCACTCCAGCAGGCCCGTACCTGCAGCTCCAGCCAAGTGGGGGGCTCTGTGCGAACCCCGTTGGTGTAGGTGCGTCTCAGGCGCTCGGCACAGAAGGGCCCGTAGCCGGCTGGCCCTTCACCAATGAAGTTCAGCAGGTACTGTGGGTGCAGAGGGCAAAGGGCAGGTCACTTCTACCTCCCGCCCAGATGGATTCTAGAGTCGCAATCATTCCCATCTGCGAGGCGAGGGTGTGTGGGCTTTCCATGTGGCCGTGCAGTATCCGCCGACATAAAGCACTCACTGCACACCCTGGACTCCTGTTGCCATGCCAATTACCCTATCTGATAAAAGAATAACATGCAGATTGACCATCACTCCAACACAAGATGGCTGCCCCCATGTGGACACAAGATGGCCACCACAAGATGGCCAGCAGGGGAGGGCAGTTGGGAGGGATCAGGCCTGCAAGGAAAGGTAGTTGGGGCAATCAAGCCTGCACGGGAGGGCAGTTAGGGGTGACCAGGCTGGCAGAGGAAATTGGGGATGACTGGGCTTGCAGGGGAGGGCAGCTGGGGGGGGGGGGCACCCAGGCCTGAAGGGGAGGGTAGTTGGGTTAGGGGACCAGGCCTGAAGGGGAGGGCAGTTGGGGGTGATCAAACCTGCAGGGCAGTTAGGGGCAAACAGGCTGGCAGAGGAGGGAAGTTGGGGCAAACAGGCTGGCAGGGGAGCAGTTAGGATCAATCAGGCTGGCAGGGGAGTGGTTAGGGGGTGATCAGGCTGGCAGGCAGAAGCGGTTAGGGGCAATCAGGCAGGCCAGCAGGCAAGCAGTTGGGAGCCAGCATTCCTGAATTGTGAGAGGGATGTCCGACGGCCCTACTGGGATCGGGCCTAAATGGGTAGTTGGACATCTCTTGAGGGGTCCTGGATTGGAGAGGGTGCAAGCTGGGCTGAAGGATACCACCCCCCTCCACACACACACACACACACACACACACACACACAAATTTTGTGCACTGGGCCCCTAGTATCTCAATAAAGCTGGGGAAATTATAAATTTTAAAATGATAATACTCAGCGTTGATAACCCTAGAGGGCCAGTGCATGAAATTCAGCCCAGCCTGAACCCTCTCCAATATGGGACCCCTCTGGGAATGTCCAACTGCTGGTTTAGGCCCGATCCTGGGGCCTAAGATGTCCCTCTCACAATCTGAGACTACTGGCTCATAACTGCTCACCTGTCTGCCTGCCTGATTGCCCCTGACTGCCCCCAACTGCCCTCCCACCCCCCGCGGGCCTGGTAGCCCCACACAGCCTGCTGCTCAGTGATTCGGTCACCCCTCACTGACCCTCCTGCCAGCCTGCTCGCCCCATGCAGCCTGTTCTATCGTCTGTTTGGTTGCAATGGTCACTTCGGCTTTTACATATGTAGATGAGAAGGAATACAAATTGGACATTTCTTGGGATCAAGTTGTCAATGTTTTAAATAGTACATAATTTTAAAATGTGCACACTCTTTGACCCAATAATTCAGACCTCTCCTAAAGGCATCGTACGGAGAGGAAGGGGGAGAGAGGGAGAGAGAGAGAGATCAGTTTCCTTCCGCGGTGCCCTGACTGGGGATGGCACCTGCGACCTGAACCGGCGACCTCTCGGCGCTCAGGATGGCCCGGCCGGCGGAGCCACCCGGGGTGTTTATGCGACAGGCAATGGGACGGTGGCCCCAATGTCCCCCACATGCTAACCGCTCTCGGACGGCGCGTGGCGGCAGCAAAGCTGCCCTCAGGGCGAGCGGTAACGTGGGAGACGCTTGTGAGGACAGAGACACACAAGAGCTGACGTTCAGACGCGCTCGTAAAGTGCGCCGAAAAGCTTTCGGAGGCGCCGGGAGGCGTGCAGCTGGGAGTTTGCTGTGTCGGCGGACGGGCGGGCAGCTGGCGGTTCCGTGACCACGGCTGACACGCCCGTCCGGGGCCTCTGGACTCGCCTCTCCTCCACAGCACGCCGGTGCGGCCGCCGGCGCCTCGGCCTCCGTTCGCGGCCCGGACACGCTGCCCGCTCCTCCGGGCCTTCCTCTGGCCTCTACCCGCTCCCGCCCCTCAGAGGGGCCACCTGGGGCAGAACAAGTGAACTGCAGACCTCTCTTACATAAGGGGAAACGGGCCCGGAGCAGCCTGGCCCTGACCATCCTGGCCAGCAGAAGCAGAAGAACAGGGCCAGAACCCAGGATTCTGGACTGCACCAGCCCAGGGCCAAAACATCCTCCCATGTACCCTGCCCCCGCCACCCCCACCCCTACCCTAGTCCTCCCCTCCCCCCTGCCCTGGTCCCACCCCTCCACCCCCGCTGCCCTGGTCCTCCCTATCCCCTCCACCCTGCCCCATCCTGGTCCCCCCGTCCCTCCCTGCCCTAGTCCCACCCCTCCCCCCTGCCCTGGTCCCCCCATCCCCTCCTTCCTGCCCCATCCTGGTCCCCCCGTCCCTCCCTGCCCTAGTCCCACCCCTCCCCCCTGCCCTGGTCCCCCCATCCCCTCCTCCCTGTCCTGGTCCCCCCATCCCCTTCCCCCTGCCCTGGTCCCCCCCATCTCCTCCCCCCTGCCCTGGTCCCCCCCATCCCCTCCCCCCTGCCCTGGTCCCCCCATCCCCTCCACCCTGCCCCATCCTGGTCCGCCCGTCCCTCCCTGCCCTAGTCCCACCCCTCTCCCCTGCCCTGCCCTGGTCCCCCCATCCCCTCCCCCCCTGCCCTGGTCCCCCCATCCCCTCCTCCCTGCCCTGGTCCCCCCATCCCCTTCCCCCTGCCCTGGTCCCCCCATCCCCCCCCCCCCTGCCCTGGTCCCCCCATCCCCTCCCCCCCTGCCCTGGTCCCCCCATCCCCTCCTCCCTGCCCTGGTCCCCCCATCCCCTTCCCCCTGCCCTGGTCCCCCCCATCTCCTCCCCCCTGCCCTGGTCCCCCCCATCCCCTCCCCCCTGCCCTGGTCCCCCCCCATCCCCTCCCCCCTGCCCTGGTCCCCCCTATCCCCTCCCCCCTGCCCTGGTCCCCCCATCCCCTCCCCCCTGCCCTGGTCCCCCCCATCCCCTCCCTCCTGCCCTGGTCCCCCCCATCCCCTCCCCCCTGCCCTGGTCCAGCCCACCTTCATGAGCCTCTCGGAGGGCGGGAAGCAGCCCAGACAGAGGCTGAGCAGGATCCAGCCGCGGGCCAGGCTGCTGGTTTTCGGGTTCTCTGACAGCTGCTTGCAGATCTGGCAGTAAATCTCGTCCCTGAAAGACAGACGCAGGCTGCAGGCTTGCTGGGAGAAGGGTGCACAGCCCCTGCTGCGCCCCTCAGTGTGGCCATGGCCAAGGGGCCTCCAGCCGCTCGCCTGCTCCCGGCTGCACCACTGGCCCTCTTGTGGGGCAGGGAGGGCCCGGGTCTCCAGCCACAGCCCGGCTCAGCAGCCCAGACTCTGCGTGAGGGACCTCTCCTCTCCCCAGCTTCACAGCATGGCGCCCCTGGAGTGCAGGCACCTGCCGCCCTCCGCCCTCCGCCCTCCCTCGGCCGCGTCCCCAGCCTCAGGCCTCTCTCCTGTCCTCCCCACTGACCAGCCTCCGTCCTGCTAAGTGCCCCTCCTGCTGCCGGCCCCCCGGCTGGTGGGTAACAGCCACGCCCGGGCGCCTGACTCCGCGTTGGCCCGTTTCTGGGGGCACATGTTCCTGTTATGCCAACTTCAGGCTGCCAGCCTGATGGCACCAAACAGAGCCAGCCGGCAGAGGAGCCGCTCTCAGGGCAGGCCCGCCCTCTGCCCCGGCCTCAGCAGCCGTCCCGGCGGGCAGGGCCTCGGGAGGGCTGCCCGCGTCCCAGCTCCCGCTCCGCCCGGCGCATGGGCACCTGAGACCCCACAGGAGCCAGCTCAGAGGAGCCGCAGCCAGAGCTGCACTGGGGCGCCCGTGTCTGTCTGCCTCTGGGGGGGGCAGCGGCGGGAGGATAGGAGAGCTGCCAATGAACAACTGGGGGAGGTACAGGCAGCGCCTCAGGCTTCCCAGGCTCCTCGGAGCTAGTTCAGGGCTGCGGTCTGCCGAGCCGAGCTGAGCCGGGTCGGGCGGAGGCAGGGGGCTGTGGGTGTGGCTGTGGGTGTGGCTGAGGCTATGGGTGTGGCTGTGGCTGAGGCTGTGGCTGTGGCTGTGGCTGTGGCTGTGGGTGTGGCTGTGGGTGTGGCTGTGGCTGTGGCTGAGGCTGTGGCTGTGGCTGTGGCTGTGGCCGTGGCCGTGGCCGTGGCCGAGGCTGTGGCTGAGGCTGTGGCTGAGGCTGTGGCTGGGGCTGTGGCTGAGGCTGTGGGTGTGGGTGTGGCTGTGGGTGTCGGGGTGTGGCTGTGGGTGTGGGTGTGGCTGTGGCTGTGGCTGTGGCTGTGGCTGTGGCTGAGGCTGAGGCTGAGGCTGTGGCTGTGGGTGTGGCTGTGGCTGTGGCTGAGGCTGTGGCTGAGGCAGGGGCGGTGTCGGAGGGGCCAGGTGAGGGGGACTGACCGGAGGCCGGGCTGCAGGAGGCCGTGGCTCACGATGAAGTGCACCTTCTCCAGGTTGGACAGGGGTCTGTCGGAGGGGGAGCCCTCAGACTCCAAGGCCTCCTCTCCAGTGTTCAGCCGGCTCGCCACCTGCAAGTCGCGTCGGCATCAGGACCTGGCCTCTCCCGCTGCCGGGAGGCCGGGGCTGGGGAGCCGGGCTGGGCCCGGGTGCGGAGCGGGCGCCGCCTCACCTGGCCCGTGACCGGGGCGGAGCGCCTCAGCGTCGTGGAGGAGATGTCCGCGGTCCTGCCCCCGAGGCCCGGCCTCTGCGGAGGGCAGAGGGAAGCGACTGAGCCCGGCAGCGCGGACCGGCAGCCGCCGGGGGCGAGCGTCTCGCGAGCGGTGCACTGCCACGTGTCCAGGGCCTCTCCTGGGGCACGCCGGCCAGGCCTGGCCTGAGCCCCGAGGGTCAGGACCCTACGGCTCAGAGCTCGAACCGACGCAGGAGAGCCCAGCCCCGACGGCCAGGCCCGGACAGGGAGGCCCGGACAGGGAGGCCCGGACGGCCAGCCCCGGACAGGGAGGCCCGGACAGGGAGGCCCGGACGGCCAGCCCCGACGGCCAGCCCCGGACAGGGAGGCCCGGACGGCCAGCCCCGACGGCCAGCCCCGGACAGGGAGGCCCGGACGGCCAGCCCCGACGGCCAGCCCCGACGGCCAGCCCCGGACAGGGAGGCCCGGACGGCCAGCCCCGACGGCCAGCCCCGGACGGCCAGCCCCGGACGGCCAGGCCCGGACAGGGAGGCCCGGACGGCCAGCCCCGGACGGCCAGCCCCGACGGCCAGCCCCGACGGCCAGCCCCGGACGGCCAGCCCCGGACGGCCAGCCCCGGATGGCCAGGCCCGGATGGCCAGGCCCGGACAGGGAGGCCCGGACGGCCAGCCCCGACGGCCAGCCCCGGACGGCCAGCCCCGGACGGCCAGCCCCGACGGCCAGCCCCGGACGGCCAGCCCCGGATGGCCAGGCCCGGATGGCCAGGCCCGGACAGGGAGGCCCGGACAGCCAGCCCCGACGGCCAGGCCCAGTCGGCCAGCCCCGACGGCCAGCCCCGGACGCCAGGCCGTGCTCATCCTCCATGAACACTGGGGGAGTGAACTGGACGCGCTCTGCCATCGCGGGGGGCCTGCTGGGGCCATTAGGACCTGCTTCTCCTCGGCAGAGGTCACACGGGGGCTGGAGGCGCCTGGAGAAGCCGCTGCCACAAGGAGGCGCAGCGAGGCCGGGGCGGGCCGGCCAGCCATCCCGGGCGGGGCACCGGCTTCTGGTGGGGAAGCGGCTTTGCCACAGAGATAGAATGTGCCACACCAGCTGTCCCTCGTGCAGATGACATGGCTGTCTACATGGAAAACTCCAAGAAGTCTATAAAAAGTAAGCAAGTTCAGCCGGCAAGTATGGCTTGGTAGTTAGCGTCAACCCATGAACCTGGAAGTCAGGACACAGGCACGGTATGCGGGCTCAGTCCCCAGTTGGGGAGAGGTGCAGGGGGCAGCCCATCAGTGACTCGCTCCATCATTGATGCTTCTAGCTCTCCCTCTCCCTTCCTCTCTGAACCAATAAAAAATATATTTTAAAAAAATAAGCAAGTTTCAGCAATGTTGCAAGATACAAAGTCAATTCACAGATAAATTATAGTTTTCTATCCTAGCAATGAACATGCCAATGCCAAACTTAAAAATATGGTGTCAGTTAGCCCTGGCTGCTAGCAAATGGCTCGATTGGTTGGAGCATCCTTCTGTTAATAAAAAGGTGTTGGGTTTGATTCTTGGTCAGGTCATATACCAGGTTGCAGGTTCGATCCCCAATTGGGGCACGTGCAGGAGGCAAACAATGTTTCTTTCTCTCCTTTAAATATCTCTATCTCTATCTCTATGTCATCCATATCTATCATCTGTAGCAATATATATATATATATACACACACGCACACACACACACACACACACTGAGTGGCCAGATTATTATGCTCATCTGGCCACTCAGTGTGTGTGTGTGTGTGTAGTAAAACCTCTATGTAATTGACTAAGTCAAGTGAGGAGGGTGTGTCCATTAAAGTTGAAAGTATGTTACATAATAAAGTAGGTTTTCCAAATGCATATATTAAAAAATTGACAAATTAGTTTACCTGTTTTTACTTATATAGACACATCTGTGTAATTATAATTATGTATGAAAAGTTTATTTTCACAGAAAAGTTTTCTATATGTTTTACTGTCATTTTAAATTCATACTGAATAGATCTGGTAATGCAGAAGCACATGGCTGGGGTGGGCCAACACGAGTTAAACTGCTGCAGAAGTCATGCCACAGACAACAGAACCAGCTACTGAGCATGTGCCCTGTGCTCACCTGCTGATCGTTCTGAACACTGTTTAAGAGCAATGACTCCTGGATTTAAGTAAGTAGACTTTAGCTGTAGATATGTAACATTTGTTCATGTCGGCAAAATTCTGCAGTGTTTTTTCCAATATATGACCTACTCATTAAAATTAGTTAAAAATAACCAAAAAACAACAGCAACCCACACAAAAACAAACACACACACACACACACACACGCACACACACACAAAAAACAAAACAAACAAACCCCAAACCCAATCTGTTAACCTATATATATAAAAGACTAATATGCTAAGTGTCTGACCAGTAGCTATGATGTGAACTGACCACCAGAGGGCAGACACTCAGTGCATAGGCATGGAAACATGGAACAGACTTCTGAATCTCAGAGGAAAAGGGGGAGGGTAGGGAGAGATTAACTGAAGATCTTATGTGCATACTCTGTGCACTGGTGGGGTCCCTCAGCCTGCCCTGAGCCCTCTTGTAATTTGGGACCCTCTGGGGATGTCGACTGCCGGCTTCTGCTTGATCTCCTAAGGCCAGGCTGAGAGACCCCACTGGTGCACAAATCTGTGCACCAGGCCTCTAGTTTAATTATAAGCAAATCTTGGTTAAAAGCATTTTTATTTATTTATTTTCTTTTAAAAATATCTTTGTTATTGAGAGTATTACAGATGTCCCCTTCTCCCCCTACTGTCCCCCCACCCAGTTCCCACCCTGCCACAGGCTCTCGCCACCTATGTCTGTGTCCACAGGAGTGCCTATATGAGTATAAGCTCTCTGGTTCTCTCTTCCCGCCCCTCCTCCCCTTCCCTCTGAGATTCATCATCTGTTCCGTGTTTCCAGCCTCTGGTTCTATTGTATTTATCAGTTTATTTTGTTCATTAGATTCCTTGTTCATTTATTTTGACTTTTAAATATAATTGTTGATAGATATGTATTTATTGCCATTTTATTGTTCATATTTTAATATATATTTTTCTTTATATATAAATTGAATTGAAGTCTGAAAAAATCGAGCGTACTGTTTATATATAAATATATATAATTACTTATAATCTCTAAAAAACCCTTATGTGCAAATATAAAACATGTGTAGGGCATATGTGCTGAAAACTACAAAACCCTCGTGAACGGAACCGGAAAAGATTCAAGGCTCTGCAGGGCAGAGATGCCAGTTCTCCTCAAACAGATTCGCAACAAAACTCCTATCGAAACACCAGCCAGGGAATGTTTGTGGGTGTGGGCAAGAGTTTCGGAAATGTGTACGGACAGGCGAGGCACCTAGAATAGCGGAATCCATCCTGGACGAGGGGCAGGCAGTGTGTGCCTGCAGCCCACAGACGGCCGGGGACACTGGCCGTAGGACCCGCAGGACCCGCAGCACAGAGACAGGAATAAACCCTCCCGTTTGCACACCGATTCTTGACAGGAGTGCGAAGTCCATTCAGTGAGTGAAAACGTGAGGTCTGAGCGGGAAGCCCTGCCCAGGCCGCCCAGGGCGCCAGCCCCCGGGGGCCCAGGGCCTCCTGCTTCCTGCCGCCCTGCCCCGGGGTGTGACCCAGGACCAGGCGCCCGGCTGCCGCTGGCTCCCTCTCGCGTCACTCCCCGGGAGGAAGCCCTGGGTGGCAGCACCCGCTTGGCGAGCCAGCAGGGCAAGGAACCCAGGCTCCTGCCAACAGCCATAGGGGCGGGCAGGTGGGGATGGGGTGGGGGGCTTCTGGGAAGCAGCTGCACAGCCGGTGACGCCTGGAGAGGGGGCGGCCTAGCCACACAACCCGGCTGCAGGGAGACTTGCACAGGCCTGCCCGGTCCTCAGGGGGAGCCCGGTCCTCAGGGGGAGCCCGGTCCTCAGGGGGAGCCCGGTCCTCAGGGGGAGCCCGGTCCTCAGGGGGAGCCCTGCCCGGTCCTCAGGGGGAGCCCGGTCCTCAGGGGGAGCCCGGTCCTCAGGGGGGAGCCCTGCCCGGTCCTCAGGGGGGAGCCCTGCCCGGTCCTCAGGGGGAGCCCGGTCCTCAGGGGGAGCCCGGTCCTCAGGGGGAGCCCTGCCCGGTCCTCAGGGGGAGCCCGGTCCTCAGGGGGAGCCCTGCCCGGTCCTCAGGGGGAGCCCTGCCCGGTCCTCAGGGGGAGCCCGGTCCTCAGGGGGAGCCCGGTCCTCAGGGGGAGCCCTGCCCGGTCCTCAGGGGGAGCCCGGTCCTCAGGGGGACCCCTGCCCGGTCCTCAGGGGGAGCCCTACCCGGTCCTCAGGGGGAGCCCGGTCCTCAGGGGGGAGCCCTGCCCGGTCCTCAGGGGGAGCCCTGCCCGGTCCTCAGGGGGAGCCTGGTCCTCAGGGGGAGCCCTGCCCGGTCCTCAGGGGGAGCCCTGCCCGGTCCTCAGGGGGAGCCCTGCCCGGTCCTCAGGGGGAGCCCGGTCCTCAGGGGGAGCCCGGTCCTCAGGGGGAGCCCTGCCCGGTCCTCAGGGGGAGCCCTGCCCGGTCCTCAGGGGGAGCCCGGTCCTCAGGGGGAGCCCGGTCCTCCGGGGGAGCCCTGCCCGGTCCTCAGGGGGAGCCCTGTCCTCAGGGGGGAGCCCGGTCCTCAGGGGCGGGGTGAGGTAAGGGTCTGCCCCGGGCGGCTTCGGGGCCAGGTCACGGGACACTGCACAGCCCACACGTGGGCAACCTCCATGTGCCCCAGGCCCTCGCCATGGCGCCCAGGCTTAAGGTCCCCGGGAGCTCCCTGCGGGCGTCTGTGCCGGGACCTGCCCCCGGGCAGCTCGGCTGCTGGGAGGTTCCCTCGGCCGGGCTGGGTGGCTCCTCCGAGGTGACGTCACCAAACCAGGCGAGGCGGCCTCCTGACCCCAGGTCCCGGGCCCCTGCCGTCAGAGGCGCTCACTGCCCACTCAGCTCTTCCTGTGTGGCCGAGGCCGCCGTCAACGCGGTCAGTGTGGGTCCTGTTCCGGGGACCGTGGTCACTGACGGAAGGGCCTGAGCTGGGGCGGGCTCACTGGCTCAGGGGCCGCGGTGAGCCGTGGGCCTCAGGCTGGAGGGCGCCTGCCGTCCCTGCCACCACCCTGCCCGCGTACCTGGGCTCCGCGCTGTGCAGCCGGGGCGCTGCCCTCCCTGCCCCCGGCGTCCGGGGCCGGCCGCGTCCGGGCGAACAGCACGGGCTCCGGGAGGTCGCCCATGAACCTCAGGATGACGCTCCACACAGCCAGCGCGGCCTGCGGGGGACAGGCTGCTGGGACCGCCCGGACCTGCCTCTGAGGCTCTGACGCAGTGTGGGGCGGGGGCGAGGAGGATGGGCGGGGGGGGGGGGAGGATAGGGGGGAGGAGGATGGGCGGGGGGAGGATAGGGGGGAGGAGGATGGGCGGGGGGAGGATAGGGGGGAGGAGGACGGGGGGGAGGATGGGCGGGGGGGAGGATAGGGGGGAGGAGGACGGGGGGGGAGGAGGACGGGCGGGGGGGGGAGGACAGGTGGGGGGGAGGATAGGGGGGAGGAGGACGGGGGGGGAGGATAGGGGGAGGAGGACGGGTGGGGGAGGGAGGAGGACCGGTGGGGGGAGGAGGACGGGGGGAGGAGGATAGGGGGGAGGATGGGGGGAGGAGGACAGGCGGGGGGGAGGAGGACGGGGGGAGGAGGATAGGGGGGAGGATGGGGGGAGGAGGACAGGCGGGGGGGAGGAGGACGGGGGGAGGAGGATAGGGGGGAGGAGGGGGGAGGAGGATGGGCGGGGGGGAGGAGGACGGGGGGAGGAGGATGGGGGGAGGATAGGGGGAGGAGGACGGGCAGGGGGGGAGGAGGACGGGGGGAGGAGGATGGGGGGAGGATAGGGGAGGAGGACGGGGGGAGGAGGATGGGGGGGGAAGATGGGGGGAGGAGGACAGGCTGGGGGGAGGATAGGGGGAGGAGGATGGGCGGGGGGGGGGAGGAGGACGGGGGGAGGAGGATGGGCGGGGGGGAGGATAGGGGGAGGAGGACGGGGGGAGGAGGATGGGGGGGAGGATGGGGCGGGGGGGCACGGCGGGGGCACAGGGGGAGCCTGAGAGCTGAAACCAGAGGCCGTACGGAGCAGGCGTCGTCGTCCTCGTGGTAGAGCAGAGGGTGCCGCAGGGGCCTCCGCAGGTGCGTGTGGCTGGCGGACCTCTGGAAGTAGGTGGCGGCGAACTTGGGGAAGCTGTACTCGGCCAGGCCGTCCGCCTCGTCCTCCGGCCCCTCCACCTCGGGCACCGCGTCCAGGTCCACCTCGGGCAGCCTCCGCGGCTCCGTCTCCAGGTCCTGGGCCGGGAGGAGAGCAGGCGCTGTGTCTGAGGCCGCCCCCAGTGGCCCCGGCCTGCCCCGGGAGGCACGGGCCTCATGGGAGCTCAGCCCCCAAGCCCTCGCGCCCGGCCTGCAGACCCGGCTCTAGACAGCGGACACGCGGGTGCTGAGGTCCGGAAGGCTGGCGCCCGCTGCTCCAGACACTGCCACCCCGGCCCGCCGGCCCTCAGAGGCGTGTGCCTGCACTGTGCGCGTGTGCGGGGCTGGTGGGGGACAGGCAGGAGGGGGTGTCTGGGCCATGGGTGCGCGTGCTCCAGTCCCGCACACTGCCCTCAGGCACGCTCCTCCTCCAGCCCTGGTCCAGCCTCAGGGCCGGCCAATGCAGAGCGCAGCCCGGCCGGGCCGGCCAGCCTCGGAGCCGCAGAGTGCCTACGAAAGGCCCTGGCCAGTGAGGCCCGGCAGGTAGGAGCCTGCTCACCTGGGAGTGTGAGACCCACAGCCCCGTCCTCCCCTTCTCTGCACGTCCACCCAGGACCAGGGCACGCCCCGCCCGCGCCGCCCGCTCCCCGCGGAGTGCCTCTTGGTGAGCCAGAGGCCGACAGGCCTGCCCTCGGGGCCCGCCTGACCTGGAAGGACAGCCCCCTCACCTCGAAGCGGGCAGGGGCCTGGCCCTCCTGCCCCCCGATCATGGACGGGAGGAAGCCGAACACTTGCTCCACCATCTGGGTGTCGGTGACGGTGTCGTAGATGGACTTGCGCTTCCTGGCGGCTGGAGCCCGGGGGCGCGGCTGCTGGGGGGCGGGGGTGGCCGGCAGCCCCTGTGTGAGGCCGGCGGTCAGCACAGCCGCTGGGCAAGCGCCTTAGAAGCCCAGGCCCTGCTCCGCCATCATCTATCCAAACCGTGGTTTTCCTCTAAAATCCCAGATTTCAACAGCCAGCGACTAGCCATCTGCCAGCCTGGCTCTTCCTGCCCCAGCAGAGTCAAGGCCAGAGACAGAGGCTGTCGTCCTGCCCCCCACCTCCCCACGGCACCACCTCGAACACAGGGCCTCGGAACCTTGCTTCACACCGAGGCCCACGCCTGCCTGGCCCTCTATTCAGAGCACCCCTCGCTGCCAGGCGGGCGGGGTGCCTGCTGGGCGAAGCAGGCGGAGAGCCACCGAGGCGATGCCGTCCCGCCCTGGCGCCCAGTCCCCCGTAGCCCCCTTCTTTCCAGTGCCCAGCTGTGGAGGCTTGGTCTCAGGTGCCCGCTGGGGCAAATGGGCTCAGGCAATCCTGCCCCTCCCTGCCTCTCCTGCCCAGACACTCAAAGCTCCTCTTGGCACTCCTCGGCCCCGGGCTGGCCTGCCATGGCCCATGACCAGGAGCTGGGGCCTCCCCAGCTCACTGCGCCTCTGACGGCCAAGCCCTGCTGGGAAGACCCCCCACAGCCCAGGGGACCCGGGCTCCGCCTCCAGGTTCTAGCAGAAGCCTGTCCTGCTGCCTGACCTGGGAGCCCTGACCGGGAGCCCTGACCGGGAGCCCTGACCGGGCGTCCTGACCGGGAGCCCCGACCGGGCGTCCTGACCGGGAGCCCCGACCGGGAGCCCCGACCGGGCGTCCCGACCGGGCGTCCCGACCGGGAGCCCCGACCGGGAGCCCCGACCGGGCGTCCCGACCGGGCGTCCTGACCGGGAGCCCTGACCGGGCGTCCTGACGGGGAGCCCAGACCGGGCGTCCTGACCGGGCGTCCCGACCGGGAGCCCAGACCGGGCGTCCTGACCGGGCGCCCCGACCGGGAGCCCCGACCGGGGAAGGGGGAGGAGGAAGGCACGAGGGCCGGCTGCAGTACCTCTGAACAAGGAGGGGCAGGACTGACTGGTGTGGGCTCACCCTGCTGCTCACTCCTCCTGCCTGTGGCCCCACCACCCCGCCCCGGGCCCAGAGGCAGTGCACACCTACCTTGGCTGTCTGCTGCCGAAAGTTCCGCCGGGCAGCCATGCCCCTGGCGTGTGCCTGGATGACCACCACCGCCCTCCTCCGGGCCTGGACCTGCTGGCGCACGAGGTAGCCCCGGCAGCGCGCCTGCAGCTGCACCACCCTGCGCCGTGCGGCCTGGAACTGCCTGCTCAGCAGGTGGCTTCGGGCCATGGCCTGCAGGCGCTCGAACCCCAAGAGGATCTGAGGCGCAAGAGAGGTGCCACTTTCAGGGCCGGCCGGAGGCGGGCTGCCTGCGATGGCCGTCCCCCGAGGGCCTCCCCCGGCCTCACAGCAGCTCCCTGCTCCTGCTGGGCCCGCCCAAGCGGCTTAGCGCTTGTAGCCGAGGACAGAGCCTGGCGTGCGAAGGGCAAAGCGGTGCTTGTGGGCGCGTGAAGGGCGGACGGTGTCTCGGGCGGCGGTGATGGAGCACCACGTGGACCTCAGCGGGGATGGAGTCCCAGAGGCCGCGCCTTTCGCACCGACCACTGACCGCCACCACGCCTTCTCCCCTGACCCCGCGGCGACTTTGAAACGGGAAGAGGTGCCGAGCTGTGAACACCTGTGTGCTGCCATCACAATCGGCCACAGCGGCCCTGAGTGCAGAGGAGGCTCCCTGGTCTCCCAAGCCCCGCAGAGGGCTGGCCTGGGACGGGCTTCAGCTGAGGGCCACTCCAGCTCCTCCCTACGGGACCCGTGCTACGGACAGTCCTAACCCTCCGCCCCCGGACAGCCCTAACCCTCCGCCCCCAGACAGTCCTAACCCTCCGCCCCCCGACAGTCCTAACCCTCCGGACAGTCCTAACCCTCCGGACAGTCCTAACCCTCCGCCCCCGGACAGCCCTAACCCTCCGCCCCCGGACAGTCCTAACCCTCCGCCTCCGGACAGTCCTAACCCTCCGCCCCCGGACAGTCCTAACCCTCCGCCCCCGGACAGTCCTAACCCTCCGCCCCCCGACAGTCCTAACCCTCCGGACAGTCCTAACCCTCCGGACAGTCCTAACCCTCCGCCCCCGGACAGCCCTAACCCTCCGCCCCCGGACAGTCCTAACCCTCCGCCCCCAGACAGTCCTAACCCTCCGCCCCCGGACAGTCCTAACCCTCCGGACAGTCCTAACCCTCCGGACAGTCCTAACCCTCCGCCCCCGGACAGTCCTAACCCTCCGCCCCCGGACAGTCCTAACCCTCCGGACAGTCCTAACCCTCCGGACAGTCCTAACCCTTCGCCCCCAGACAGCCCTAACCCTCCGGACAGTCCTAACCCTCCGCCCCCGGACAGTCCTAACCCTCCGCCCCCGGACAGTCCTAACCCTCCGCCCCCGGACAGTCCTAACCCTCCGCCCCCGGACAGTCCTAACCCTCCGCCCCCGGACAGTCCTAACCCTCCGCCCCGGGACAGTCCTAACCCTCCGGACAGTCCTAACCCTCCGGACAGTCCTAACCCTCCGCCCCGGGACAGTCCTAACCCTCCGGACAGTCCTAACCCTCCGCCCCCGGACAGTCCTAACCCTCCGGACAGCCCTAATCCTCCGCCCCCGGACAGTCCTAACCCTCCGGACAGTCCTAACCCTCCGCCCCCGGACAGCCCTAACCCTCCGCCCCCGGACAGTCCTAACCCTCCGGACAGTCCTAACCCTCCGGACAGCCCTAACCCTCCGCCCCCGGACAGTCCTAACCCTCCGGACAGTCCTAACCCTCCGCCCCCGGACAGTCCTAACCCTCCGGACAGTCCTAACCCTCCGCCCCCGGACAGTCCTAACCCTCCGGACAGTCCTAACCCTCCGGACAGTCCTAACCCTCCGCCCCCGGACAGCCCTAACCCTCCGCCCCCGGACAGTCCTAACCCTCTGCCTCGCACTGGCTTATGGTGGAGAAGGATGCACTGACGCAGTGGGCTGCAGCCTGTGTGTCCTGTCAGCCGCCTTTACACCTTCGTGAGGCATAACGTGGACAGCCTGAGGTCACTTTTGCTGTGACCACTGCGTGTCCCAACCACAATCACATGACAAAGGCAAGAAGCCCGGTGAGGCCCAACAAGGTCAAGTTGCCCTGGTTCGCAGGCAGCGCCGTGGCAGACCTGCGAGGGGCCTTCCTGCCTCGCCTCACCTCAGACGAGCAGCCTGTCCCTGGCTGCCCCCCCCCCCCCCCCCCCCCCCCCCCCAGCCCCCGCCGCAGGCCCCGAGCTCTCCTACCAGCGTGAAGGCCTGGCGGGCGCGGCGGCCTCTCCAGGCGGCCTGCATGCTCACGGCAGCCCTTCGCTGCCGCAGGAACTCCTGCCTGGAAGGAGATGCGGTGAGAGGGGCACAGTCAGACACTGTGAGCCGGAGGGTAACACTGTTTGTGAACGGACGTCTAAGAAACTGTACAGCACTTCTCTCCTGAGAGCCAAGAGACAGGTCAGGTCTTGGGCCCACTGCCCGTAACTTCCATGCTGGTAAGGGCAGGCCACCTTTTACAATAGAATAATCCAGAACATCCCACCCCACACCCAGGATCGATGAGGGGCCACAACGCGCGGCCGGTGCTTTACTCCTGGCCCGATGCTGCCCTCCCTGCTCACTAAGCCAGGCTCCGGCCAGCAAGCAGCCCCAGTGCCACGGGCGGCTCCTCGGCGGCGGACCAAGCTGAGGGAACCTCCCAGGCCCCGCTCTCCTGCCCCCGCCCCACCCCCAGTCACAGCCAGCCCACTCCGGCGAAGCACCTCAGAAACAGCTGGGTGCCGCACGGAGTGCCCGTGGGAGCCCAGACCCCCACCCTCTCCAGGGCACGTCCGAGAAGGCTGAGTAGGAACCATCCTTATGTGCCATGATGACCACCCCCCACAGTGTCAGTGAAAACCACCGGGGGACCGGATCCCACCAGCACTTGGCGGCAGCCGGGTCCCTCTCCCTTCATGCGGGAGTGGTGTCAGAGAAGCCCAGCGGCGAAGCAGGCTCCATCTCCCTCAGCTGGGTCAGTGGAGGCCGCACTGGGGCAGGAGTGGTGCCAGCGGACGCCCGTGGGCAGCTCGGACGCCACCCCAGCCAGCAGCAGTCACAGGAGGATCTCACTCTATTAGCAGTAAACACGCCACCCACCCCTGCCAGAATGGTGTCAGAGGAAGATAGCTAAAATGTATAATTAAACAAGGCATATAATTCTTATAACACAATACGCAAAATGCCCCAACCCAGGGAAACATCAACTTGAATGAGAAAAGACCATCAACAGAAGCCAACATGGAGATGACAGAGGTATTAGCCATTATAAAAAATCTCCCAACAATGCTCACTTGAAACTAATGATAAAATAGAAAGTCTCGGTAAAGAAATAGGAGAAATAAAGTAGAACCAAATTGACATTTTAGAGTTGAAAATATCACAGTGAATAAAAAAGAACCGCAGCACACAATGGAAAGAGAGAGGAAAGAATCAAGTGAGCTTGAAGACATAGCAGTAGAAATTATACATCCTGAAAAACAGGAAATTGACTGGAAGAGAAGGAACAGAGCATTAGGCACCAGTGGAATTGCAACAAAAGACCTAATATTTGTGTTGTTGGAGTCCCGGAAGGAAAAAAGAAAGAGGTTTTGGTAAAAAGTCCTAGAAGAAATAAGAGCTAAAAACTCATAAACTTAGCAATAGATATAAACCTACAGATTCAAGAAACTGAGCAAATTCCAAGTAGGATAAATGCAAGTAAACCCACATCAAAGCAGACCATAGTCAGATCTAGGAAAACAGAATTATGGGCATACCAGAGGAGAGGAGGAGAGGGAGCAAGGATCAGAGAGCCTCGTATAGCTTGGCCTTTCCTTGGCATCGCCAAGCCCAGCACAAGTAACAGCCACCTGCAGATTGCTTTGTAGCTCCTGCCGGGCGGCCCAGGCAGGGTACAGGCAGCTGGAATTGCATTTCCTGGGAGGCCCCAGAACCAGCTCACCCAGAAGACAACTTCTCCAGAGCCTCACCCAATCTCCTCCAAGAGTGACACACATATTTTTTAAAATTTTTTTCTCTTCTTTATTTCAGAGAGGAAGGGAGAGGGAAAGAGAGAGAAACATCAACGATGAGAGAGAGAGTCATTGATCGGCTACTTCCTGCATGCTCCTTACTGGGGATCGAGCCCACAACCTTAACCAGAACCTTTAGTCCGCACGCTGATGCTCTATCCACTGAGGCAAAGCAGCGAGGGCTATGAGTGACATACTTCTAAGACAGACTCGGTGTCATCAGAGCCCTGCTAACGTGAGTACTGTCTATGAGGTCAGCCCCGCACAGCCAATCCTCTGTTGTGGTGTGGCCAGCCCTGGCAGCCAATCAGCCTGGGAGTAAATACCTCCCTTAGTGTGCCAACAGCATCCAAGGCTCAAATGTAACGATGGGTGCAAACAAGAGGTGTGCACCTGCAGTGCCCAGTGTGAGTGGCCACGAAGGCTGCCCCACAAGCCACTCTACCAAGCCCAGGAGACACAGCAGCTCTACCTAATCCATAGAACAAACGTGGGAGGCTGCCAGACTGAGGAGGCAAAGAAACATGTTCCAAATGAAAGAACAGAGCAAAACTCCAGAAAACACTTAAACAAAATGGAGGCAAGCAAGCTATCAGATGTGGAGTTCAAAACACTGGTTATAAGGCTGCTCAATGAGTGTAGGGGAAAAGGAGAGGAACTAATGAGAACTTCCATAAAGAGACTGAAAACATAAAAAAGAGCCAGCCAGAAAAGAAGAGCATAATAACTAAAATAAAGAATGCATAAAGAATCAATCGTAGAATAGACAAATTAGAGAATCAAATCAGTAATTTGGAAGATAAAGAAGCAGAAAACACCTAATCAGAACAACAAAAATAAAAAAAGTCAGCATCCACTTGTGAGCCAGGAGGTCATGGTTGGGTCAGGGACATGCCCGGGTTGCAGGCTTCAGCCAATCAATGATTCTCTCTCCTCATTGATGTTTCTATCTGTCTTTTCCTCTCCCTTCCTCTCTGAAATCAATAAAAATATACTTAAAAAGAAAAAAGAATCCAAAAATTTCAGGCTAGACTAAGGAGCTTTGAAACAACTTTAAGTGTACCAACATTTACATCCTGGGGTGCAGGAAGAAGAGAGAGAGAGGAAGAAATTGAAAACCTATTTGAAAGATATGATGGAAAACCTCACTAACTTGGTGAAGAAAAAAGACAGTGCAGAGAGTATCAAACAAGATGAACCCAACAGGCCCACACCAAGACACATCATAATTAAAATGCAGAAGTTAAAGACAGAAAGAATCTTAAAAGTAGCAGCTAGTTACCTACAAGGGTGCTCCCATAGACTGTCAGCTGATTTCTCAACAGAAGCTTTGTAGGCTAGAAAGAATTGCCAAAAAATATTCTAAATGATGAAAAGAAAAGAACTACAACCAAGATTGCTTTACCTTGCAAAGCTGTCATTTAGAATTGAATGATAAAGGGCTTCTGAGGCAAGAAAAAGCTAAAGGAGTTCATCACCACCAAACCAGGATTACATGAAATGTTAAAGCGTCTTCTTTTTGAAGAAGGAAAAAAAATAAAACTATAAAACTAAAATGGCAATAAATGCATATTCACCAACAATTAGTTTAAATGTAAATGGATGTTTGAGCATCGTGTCTGGGTTCCGAGTTCTTTCTGCGGTTGGTGATAAAGACAGCGAGTACAGAGACCAGACCTGTGGCCTGGGGGCTGCCGGACACGGTGAGGGGAGAAAGGCGACAGCGCTCTGCTTACTGAACCTGAGCTGGACTTCAGGGCTACCTTCTGACTCACCCGGACCGAGTCAAAGAGGCTTTTTTTCTTTTTTTACCTCCCAAACCAACCACCTCACAAACCCAAACTCACAAATTCCCTGAGACAGCTGAAGGAGAACATCCAAATATGGCTGAGACCCGAGCTGACACTTCATTTGACTCTTGCTTATGTAGTAGATTCCCCTCCACCCACCCACCAAACATGGCCCACAGACTAGCATCCAGATAATGCCTTCGTCTTCTCTGGTCCCTGCAGGCCGGCGGTGACCGGGCAGAGGCGCCGCGGGGTCTGGTCCTCCCTGCCCCGGGGGCGGGCAGGAACAGCGCCCCTGGTTGGGGGCTCGGTCTTGGGGCACCGGGGCGGGGTGTGCGGGAGAGGCGCACCTGTGCCTGTAGCCCCGCAGGACTCGCTGGATGCTGACCGCCGCGTTCTCCAGGGCCCGGCTCCTCTGCACCTCCAGCAGGGCGTCCTGGTGCTCCTGCAACGGACGGACTCATGAGCCGCCGCCCGCCCTCGGCCGGCCGGCCCGGGCCAGGCTGGCAGGCGTGGTGCTGTGCTCCCCGAGGCCACGCAGGGGGAGGGCTCCACTCTGACTCCGTGGCCCCAGCCACGGCCTTCCCGCTCCCCCTCTCGCTCGTTAGCGCAATCAGCCGATTTCGCGTCTGCTCTGGAGAGCCAGGAGGGGCCAACACTTCCCGGAAGTTGGTTTATTTCCCCAAATTTGTGTGAACTGTGCAGTCAACTGCATTCGGCTCCTGCCAGTCTCCGTGGGAAACGGTCCCTTTGGCCTTGGAGCGGCTCTCAGTGTGTCAGCCCTGGGGCGGCCCTCCTTCGCAGCGGCCCGGACCCTGTGCCGGTGCCCGGACCCCGTGCAGGACTGTGTGTAGAGCAGAGGGCAGCGGCCTTCGGCGGCGCCAGCCTCAGGTCCAGCAGCCGGAGCCTCCGTGTGCCTGGTGGCACCGGGGACAGACCTCGGCTATGGCTTCGAGGAGCAGCCAGAGGAAGGAAAATGGCGGGAAGGCACTCCTGCCCCCCTGCCACCCGCCTGCCGTTACCCTCCTCTCCGGCCAAGCCCGGCAGTGCCTGCCCGCCTGGGAGCCTGAGAGTCTGGGGGCCTGGGGGCCTGGGGGCCTGGGAGCCTGGGGGCCTGGGGGCCTGGGTGTCTGGGTGCCTGGGTGCCTGGGGGCCTGGTTGTCTGGGTGTCTGGGTGCCTGGGGGCCTGGATGCCTGGGAGCCTGGGTGTCTGGGAGCCTGGGTGCCTGGGGGCCTCGTTGTCTGGGAGCCTGGGTGCCTGGGTGCCTGGGGGCCTGAGTGTCTGGGAGCCTGGGTGACTGGGGGCCTGGGGGCCTGGGGGCCTGGGTGTCTGGGTGCCTGGGGGCCTGGGGGCCTGGGTGTCTGGGTGCCTGGGTGCCTGGGGGCCTCGTTGTCTGGGAGCCTGGGTGCCTGGGTGCCTGGGGGCCTGGGGGCCTGGGTGTCTGGGTGCCTGGGGGCCTGGGGGCCTGGTTGTCTGGGTGTCTGGGTGTCTGGGTTCCTGGGGGCCTGGGGCCCTGGGTGCCTGGGGGCCTGGGGGCCTGGGTGTCTGGGTGCCTAGGGGCCTGAGTGCCTGGTTGTCTGGGTGTCTGGGGGCCTGGGGGCCTGGGTGTCTGGGTGCCTGGGGGCCTGGGGGCCTGGGTGTCTGGGTGCCTGGGGGCCTGGGTGCCTGGTTGTCTGGGTGTCTGGGGGCCTGGGGGCCTGGGTGTCTGGGTGCCTGGGGGCCTGGGTGCCTGGTTGTCTGGTTGTCTGGGTGTCTGGGTGTCTGGGTTCCTGGGGCCCTGGGTTCCTGGGTGCCTAGGAGCCGGGGGCCCTGGGAGTCTGGGGGCCTGTGGGGGGGGCACAGGGCAGGGGGCCAGGAGCTCGGAGGCCAGGACTCTCACAGGGGCTCACCTTCAGGAAAATTTTGGTCTTTCCTACTTTCCAGTCTGTGTCCGTCCCCAGCCACCTGTCAGCGATGCTCAGCGTCATCTGTCGACACTTGTCCCGAAGCTGCAGGAGAACCAGGGAGGGGGGTTGGGAGGTGGGGGGGCGAGCAGGGCCCCTCAGGCTGTGGGCCAGGCCAGCATCTGCCATCAGGCGCCCGAGCATCAGGCGTGCAGCCTGGGCTCCAGAGGAGGAGCAGCCGGGGCTCCTGCCCCAGCCTGCGTGGCCCCACCGCCTCCCCACAGACCCCCTTCATGTCCCCTCATGCCCCCCACAGGCCCCCCTCATGCCCCCTCGGGAGAGCTGGCTTTTAGGGGGCATGGGGGGGCGCCCCCTCATGCCCAGGAGGCGGGGAGGGGAGCCCACAGGCGGGGCCCACACACCTGCTGGCGGGAGGCGCTGGGCAGCAGGACCCCGAAGCGCCCCGCGAACTGCGCGAAGGTGTACCGGATGGGGAGGCCCGCCCGGCGGACACGCACGGTCTCCAGGGCGCCCGAGTAGCGCAGCTGCCGCAGGCACAGCTCGCGGTCCAGGAGCTGCGGGCGGAGGCCAGAGGGGGCTGAGGGCGGCCTCCCGGGCCCCAAGGCGGCCTTGCCCCCCCCAAGGAGAGAATACTGGGGAGATCCGGGAAAGTCCCTGCAGGTCTCCGGAGACAAAGTGGGTAACAAGCGGTGCTGACCCCAGGATGAGCTGTTTGCATTCGCCCCATTTAAGCGCCCTCAACAGAGCCCCCAGGGATGCGGCCTGCGGCCCAGTCCAGCTCCTCCTCAGAGCCGCTGGCTCTCCCTGCAGGGGTGGCCCGCTCACCCCCCAACACACACGACCTTCCAGCCCCCAGGAGTCTCTGGGCGCTGGGGCACCCCCTCCAATCTGGGGAGCCCACCAGCAGGCAGTTCCCAGAGGCAACTGCCTGTGGGCCAGGGCCACGCGGAAAGTCCTCTGGGGCTAGCCCCCCCCCATGTCCGGTTCTCTACACCAGCCCCTCGCGGAAGTGAGAAGCAAGGCCACACGGGCCGCAGCCTCGAGGCCCAGCCCAGGGCTGTGCGGAGGGCAGTGCGTCCCGCCCGCGGGCAGGCAGGCGGGCGGCTCACTCCCCTGGACAGGCGCCTGCCGAGGGAGCCCGGGCCCAGTGCCAGCGGGCAAGCGGCAGGGCCACCTCGCAGCCCATCCCATGCCGGGCGCTGACGGAGCGGCTGGCCCCTCGCCGGGGTCCGTCTGAACAGTGGGGTGGGTGACAGCCGGTGGGGGGCACAGAACCCTGGGCTGTCAGGCGGAGCCGCTGCCTCCCCGGCCAGCCTCCCTCGTTACCAGCGGCTTCTTGTGCTCGTTGGGTTTGATGCAGCGGATGAAGGAGGGCTGGCAGCCGCTCAGGATTTTCATCAGCTGGTCCAGCGACTGCTTGAACTGGCCTGCCAAGGTGGCAGGCTGCCGGCCGGCGTCTGCAGACTGTGGGCAGAGCACAGGGTCTGAGTCGGGCTGGGCGCAGGGCCTGGGGCGCTGCTGGCCCAGGGTCCGGCCTGGACGTGGCCGAGGCCACCGTCCATCACAGGTCCCCAAGGGCCCCCGCTGGGGAATGAGGACCCGGAGGGAGGGAGGAAGGTGGGCACCTGCCTCCGGTCTAGGGTGCACTGCCCGGGATGATGAGGCGGGGTGAGAAGAGGATGTCAGAGCTGGGATGCTCACTTTTTGCCTCCCCTCCTACATTTCCCAGTTTTGACCAGGTTTTATATAGTAGAAAATGGTTATGCTACGATTGCATGCATTATAGCGAATGTGAATTGTTCTAAAATATATGTATTAACTTACGGAGGCAAGGAGCCCCCTGCCATGAGCACTGTTTGTCTTGGGCAATGCTCCTTCTTCAAACCTTCCCACGGTCAAACGCACCTGAGCACAGGGGTGTGCGGCCAGACGGCCAGGTCTGGAGTCAGAGGTCTTCACTCCAGACCCTCTGAGGGGGGCAGGCAGTCCCCGAGCTTTAGTCACAGTGGGGGCATTTCCCTTTTGTCCTGGTTTCTAAACTGTATGCGTTTCCTCCACAGCCACCTGCTCCCCGAAACACCCAGGCCCTGCTCTGGCCAGCTGGGGGCCAGGCGGAGTGCTGGGACAGCTGGGGGCCAGGCGGAGTGCTGGGACAGCTGGGGGCCAGGGCGGAGTGCTCAGACAGCTGGGGGCCAGGGCGATGTGCTGGGACAGCTGGGGGCCAGGCGGTGTGCTCGGACAGCTGGGGGTCAGGGCGGAGTGCTGGGACAGCTGGGGGCCAGGGTGATGTGCTGGGACAGCTGGGGGCCAGGCGGAGTGCTGGGACAGCTGGGGGCCAGGCGGAGTGCTGGGACAGCTGGGGGCCAGGCGATGTGCTGGGACAGCTGGGGGTCAGGGCGATGTGCTCAGACAGCTGGGGGTCAGGGCGGAGTGCTGGGACAGCTGGGGGCCAGGGCGGAGTGCTGGGACAGCTGGGGGTCAGGCGGTGTGCTGGGACAGCTGGGGGCCAGGGCGGAGTGCTGGGACAGCTGGGGGTCAGGGCGATGTGCTCAGACAGCTGGGGGTCAGGGCGGAGTGCTGGGACAGCTGGGGGCCAGGGCGGAGTGCTGGGACAGCTGGGGGTCAGGGCGGAGTGCTCGGACAGCTGGGGGTCAGGGCGGAGTGCTCGGACAGCTGGGGGTCAGGGCGGAGTGCTGGGACAGCTGGGGGTCAGGGCGATGTGCTGGGACAGCTGGGGGTCAGGGCGGAGTGCTCGGACGGCTGGGGGTCAGGGCGGTGTGCTGGGACAGCTGGGGGCCAGGGTGATGTGCTGGGACAGCTGGGGGTCAGGGTGATGTGCTGGGACAGCTGGGGGCCAGGGGGGGTGCTGGGGCAGCTGGGGGTCAGGGCGGAGTGCTGGGACAGCTGGGGGTCAGGGCGGAGTGCTGGGACAGCTGGGGGTCAGGGCGGAGTGCTCGGACAGCTGGGGGTCAGGGCGGAGTGCTGGGACAGCTGGGGGTCAGGGTGATGTGCTGGGACAGCTGGGGGCCAGGCGGTGTGCTCGGACAGCTGGGGGCCAGGGCGGAGTGCTGGGACAGCTGGGGGCCAGGGCGGAGTGCTCGGACGGCTGGGGGTCAGGGCAGCTTTTCAGGGGAAGGCAGAGCCCAAGTGCCCAGGGCAGCCTAGGGTCGTTGGAAGGCGGTTTGCTTCCTCCGCCTCTGCCCACCCATCAGCCTTCTCCTGCCTCCAGCAGAGCCAGGGCTGCTCCAGAAAAGTCCTGGAGGCTTTGGTGAGGTCCACCCCGGCCCCCAGGAGGCTGAGCCAGCTGAGGAGCCAGAGAGCAGACAGGCCCTCTCTGCACGCCCCAGTCGGCACTGGCCACACCAGTGTCCTTGGCCTTCACCACCCTGCCAGGGCTCCCAAGCCTCAGGCCACAGCCACGTGCAGTGCAGGCCCCACACCGAGGAGCCCAGGCTGTGCCCGTCACCAGCCTGAAGCAGTGAGCTAGCAGCCAGCAGCGGGAGGAGCACACCGCCCTGCCCCCCAGCTGTCCCAGCACTCCGCCTGGCCCCCAGCTGTCCCAGCACATCACCCTGACCCCCAGCTGTCCCAGCACTCCACCTGGCCCCCAGCTGTCCGAGCACATCGCCCTGGCCCCCAGCTGTCCCAGCACATTGCCTGGCCCCCAGCTGTCCCAGCACTCCGCCCTGTCCCCCAGCTGTCCGAGCACATCGCCCTGACCTCCAGCTGTCCCAGCACTCCACCCTGGCCCCCAGCTGTCCCAGCACATCGCCCTGGCCCCCAGCTGTCTGAGCACACCGCCCTGGCCCCCAGCTGTCCCAGCACATCGCCCTGGCCCCCAGCTGTCTGAGCACACCGCCCTGGCCCCCAGCTGTCCCAGCACTCCGCCTGGCCCCCAGCTGTCCCAGCACTCTGCCCTGTCCCCCAGCTGTCCGAGCACATCGCCCTGACCTCCAGCTGTCCCAGCACTCCGCCCTGGCCCCCAGCTGTCCGAGCACTCCACCCTGGCCCCCAGCTGTCCGAGCACTCTGCCCTGGCCCCCACCACTCGGAACACACATGCTGATGACACACGCAGCAGCAGTCACACAAGCACCAGGGCCTGAGCAAGCCCACCCGCGCTTGGAGGCAGGCACTCGTGGGCTGTCCCTCCCACGTGGCTGAGAGCTGGAAGGCCAAGGCCTAGGCAGAGAGGGGAGGAGGGAGGGGAGAAAGGGAGCAGGGGAGGGAGGGGGAGGGGAAAGGGGCAGGGGGGATGGGGAGAGGGAGGGAGAGGGAGGGGAGGGAGAGAGGGAGGGAGAGGGTGGGGAGGGAGGGGGAGGGGAAAGGGGCAGGGGGGATGGGGAGGGGGAGGGAGAGGGAGGGGAGGGGGAGAGGGAGGAGAGGGAGGGGAGGGAGGGGGAGGGGAAAGGGGCAGGGGGGATGGGAAGATGGGGGAGGGGAAAGAGAAAGAGGGGAGGGGGAGGGGGAGAGGGGGGAGGGGAAAGAGAAAGGGGGAGGGAAAGTGGAAGGGGGAGGGGAAGGGGCAGGGGGATGGGGAGAGGGAGGGAGAGGGAGGGGAGGGAGGGGCAGGGGAAAGGGGCAGGGGGGATGGGAGAGGGAGGGGAGGGAGGGGATGGAAGTGGAGGGGAAAGGGGAGGGGGGATGGGGAGAGGGGGGAGGGGAAAGAAAAACAGGGGAGGGGAACGGGAAAGGGGGAGGGGAGAGGGGGGAGGGGGGAGGGGAAAGAGAAAGGGGGAGGGAAAAGGGGAAGGGGGAGGGGAGAGGGGGGAGGGGGGAGGGGAAAGAGAAAGGGGAAGGGGGAGGGGGAGAGGGAGGTGGAGAGGGGGGAGGGAAAAGAGAAAGGGGGGAGGGAACGGGGAAGGGGGAGGGTAGAGGGGGGAGGGGGAGGGGAAAGAGAAAGGGGGAGGGGAGGAGGAGGAGGGGGAGGGGAGAGGGGGGAGGGGGGAGGGGAAAGAGAAAGGGTGAGGGGAGGAGGAGGGGGAGGGGAGAGGGGGAGGGGGAGGGGAGAAAGAGAAAGGGGGAGGGGAGGGGGAGGGGGAGGGGGAGCGGGGCCCACCTTGAGGACCTGGCCCCGCGCCCGCCCCAGGCGGAGGGTCCCGCGGCCCAGCTGGATGTCGGTGGGCTCCAGCCGGAAGATGTCCCTCAGGAAGGCGTTCTGGGAGGCGTGCACCAGCGTGAGGATGTCTGCACTCAGCACATCCCGGTTCTTCTCCAGGAAGCCTGCGGAGGGCGCCCAGCTCAGCTCTCGCCAGGGCCCCTGCGGCCTCCTCCCGCTCCCCTCTCTCCTCCCATCCGCCAGGCAGCCTGCTCCCTCCTCTGCGTCCGCCTGGCACCTGGTCTCCACCCAGCACCACGACAGGCCCCGGCGCCCGCTCCCCGCACCCTCCCCGGTCACCCCAACACGTCCCTGTCCTCCGTGGGGCCACTGCTCCCTCTGCTCGGCTCCCGGGAGGCCCAGCCAGGCTGCTTTCGCAACCAAAACCACGCTGAGTCCTCCCGCAGCCACAGCGAGGTTGGGCTCTGAAGCCCAGGTAAGAGCCTCTCAGAAGGAAACACAGGGCTGAGGCTTGGGTTGGACAAGAGTTTCTAAGTCATGAAACCAAAGCAACAACAGAAGATGGGCAGCCTGACAAGGCAGCTCAGTCATCCCCACACACCATGGTCAGCGTGTCATCCCCACACACCAAGGTTGTGAGGGCATGTGCCAGAGCCAACCAGTGAGTGCATAACCGCGAAATCTCTCTCTCTCTCCTCCCTCACTTCCTCTTTCTCTAAAATCAATCAATAAAAAATAGGTAAGTTGGACTTCATCAAAATTAACATTTTTGTGCTTCAAAAGAACACTATTAAGAAAGTGAAAAGATAACCCATTGAATTAAATATTTACAAATTATATATCTGATAAGGTACTTATATTCAGAATACACAAAATCTCTTACAACTTGACAGTAAAAGGACAACCCAATTAAAATGCAGGCAGAGGATTCCATGACACCATGAGGCCAGGAGACGGGCACTTCAGTCTCAGAGGCGCAGGCCACGCCCGCCGGCCGCCAGCCAGAGCAGAGGCAAAGGGACTGAGCGGCTGCTGGGGTGTGTGTGTGTGTGTGTGTGTGTGTGTGTGTGTGTGTGTGTAATGCAGAGGAAATGTGGATGGGAGGTTTCTGGTTGGCATGATGAAATGGTTTAAATTGTGGCAGCAGTTATACAACTCTGGGTGAACTTACTAAAAATCCATTGAGTTGTGTGCTTAAAACTGGTGACTGATGCCCGGCCTGCGTGGCTCAGTGGCTGAGCATCTACCTGTGAACCAAAGGTCACAGCTCTGTTCCTGGTCAGGGCACAGGCCTGGGCTTGTGGGATAATCGCCATTGAGGCGTGCAGGAGGCAGCCAGTAAATGATTCTCTCATCATGGATATTTCTATATATAATATATCTCTCTCCCTTCCTGTCTGAAATCAGTGAAAGTATATTTAAACTAAAAAAAAAGGGGGGGGGGTGACTCATTAGAATATTACAAACAAAAAAGCATGGCTGGCCTGCTCAGCTCCCTCTTGCCATTGCGAGCCCAGTGGTGCCTACCTTCGGCCTGGTAGTACACGTCTCCCGCGAAGTGGGCAATGCCGAACCTGGCGTCGTGGATGTTCCTGGGCTGCAGGAAGGCCTTGTTGTTGGCATGGACACTCTTCAGCTTTTCCAGCATGGTGGCATCCGTGCCCTGGGAGAGCACAGGCACCTGTGGGCGGGGGCCCACCGAGCTCAGGGCCCCCACGGGCCCGAGCACGGCGCGGGGTGAGCGCCCAGCTGGCTTCCCTTCTCCGGATGAAGGGCTCCTACTGGCTGCGCCTGAGAGGCTCTCCCCAGGGCCAGGCAGGCTCCCGGGCAGAGAACGGGCCCCTCCTCTCCTGCGGCAGCCTTGCTGCAGGTGCCCAAGAGGCCGTGACAGACGCCTGCCATTCTGCGGGGAGCGGGCAGGGTGCGAGCTGGCCTCGAGGGAGAGCAGGTCTGGCTGGGAGAAGAGCTGAGGCTCCAGCAGCCTCAGAGCGAATGAGCCGGGGGCGGCGGGGGGGGGGCACATCCGGGCGGAGACGATGGGGTCTCGGGGGCGGGCTCAGGGCGCACCTGCGGGAGGCGGCTCTCCTCGTCCAGTAGGGAGAGGACGCTCATGGGCCTCAGGGCCAGCAGGTCCAGGGTGGGCCGGTTGTCGGTGTAGCCCACGAAGTCCCAGGCGACACCCTCGGCGCGGTACTCCTCCTGCTCCAGGCTGAACACGTGCCGCACGAAGAACTGCTGCAGGTGCTCGTTGGCCAGGTTGATGCAGAGCTGCTCGAAGCTGGGGCGGGCGGGCGGGGCGAGGGCATGGGCGAGGGCCTGCCGCCAGGAGCATGCTCCCCTCTCCGCCCGCCGGCCATCTCACCCCCGCCTCCTGGCCAACAGACTAACGTAGGGGTGTCGAACTCAATCAGAGAAGGGGCCAAAATCTAAAATCCAGCCTAAATCGCGGGCCGAATGGTTTACTGAACAGTCATAAACTGTCATTGTGATGGAAACGCAGCGGAGTGCAGTGATGACAGCGCGGTGCGGGCCACATTGCAAGGCCTGGCGGGACGGATTTGGCCCGCGGGCCTTGTGTTTGACACATGTGGAACGGGAAGGAGCGCTCTGAAGGCACGCCATCCACCCTGCCCTGGCTCCTTACCAACCTGTAGGGCTCTGTGCCAGGCCTGCCTACCCACAGGGAATGGTCCTGGGAGCCGGTGTAACAGCCCAGCCCACGGCAAGGGCCTTGGCCTGAGAGGAGCCTCTGCGCTCAGGAGTGGCTGCTGGGCTCCTCTGCATCCAGCGGAGTGCTCCCCCCACCCCCTGCCTGCCCCGGGCAGTCAGCAATCAGGAGTCATGCTGACCCCTCCGCCCACCTCTTCCCCATTCCAATCCAGCTGGGCACGCTCTGCCCTGCAAGTGCCCTGACTCTTCCCTGCTTCCCAGTGACACACCCCACGGTCCCCCTGGCTCCTCGGCCCTTTTGGGCTCGCTATGGAGGGAGCTTCTGACCGGCAGGCCCCAGCTCGCCCCACCCCAGGCAGGACCCAGGGACACAGCGGGAAGCCTGCCTCTGCCCCAGCGTGGTGCCGGCCGGCCGCTCTGCTTTCCACGGGCTGCCTCCCCATCCCGCCTGAGCCCTCACACAGCAGCGGCCGCTCCTCTCCCGCCTCCTGCCCGGCCAATGGCATCTGGCGCAGGCAGCCTTCCTGCGTCAGGATGGCTGACAGTCAGTGTGAAGCCTCCTCATTCCTGGACTGGCCAGAGGGGTGAGGGCACAGGTGGGCATGTGCCCCACGCCCCACTCCTTGCTCAGCGGGCTCTGTGGACACTTGGGGGGCCCTAGTGAGTGACTGCAGCCCTGTCACAGCCCCCTGGCCCCTCCCAGAGGGCTCCTGGCATCAACGGCCTGACCCCACCCACTAATGCTCCCGAGGTTTCCCGTGCTTGGCAGCCACTGTCCCCCTGAGCACAGCAACCAAGGGCCTGGCCACCTCCCAGCTGTCAGTGCCCCGGAGCTCCCGCACCGGGTGGTGCTGCCAGCTCTCCCGTGTGCCGCCCGCCTGCAGAGCCTGGCTCGCACGGGGAATGCTCACCGTGGGGCCCTCAGCTCCCGTGGAGACGGGCGGGGCCAGCCCCGGGCTCTCACAGCCGAGGCCCACTGCGGGAGCCATCCGGAGCCATGCCAGGCCCGCGGCAGCTAGGCTCCCCTGAGAAGCCACTAGACTGCACACAGGCGCTTCCCGCTCGCTCCAGCACTCTCTCCTCACTGACCGCCTGCCGCCAGCTGTCCCAGCCTCCCCTTACCCCTGCCCTCATCGCTCACCACCGGGGCACGCTTCCCATCTGCCTCCCGGCTCTTCTTCAGCCTCCATTCAGGGTTGCTGGGACACTGGCCAGAGGTGGCAGCCCTGGCTTTCTGCTGCCCAACTAAACCACCAGGCATGGCACCACCTTCCCCTTACCCAGCACGATAGGGACCCTGAACATGCAGGCCAGTCAATGTCATTGACAATCTATTCACCCAAACCCCAGCCTTAGCCCTAGCCCTAAAAGTACACCTAACCCTAACTTTAAACGATAACCTAATCTCTAAGCCTAGCCCTAACCCTCGCCCTACTACCCTGTTTGTCCGAAAATAAGACAGTGTCTTATATTAATTTTTTCTCCCAAAGTTGCGCTAGGTCTTATTATCAGGGGATGTCTTATTTTTCCATGCACTAGGTCTTATTTTCGGGGAAACACGGTACTAGCCTAACCCTAAACCTAACCCTAATCCTAAATCTAACTCTAACCAAAGACCAAGGCCTAGCCCTAACCCTCGCCCTACGTCTAGCCCTAACCCTACCCCTAAACCTAACCCTAACACTAGCTCTAGCCCTAACCCTAACACTAAACCTAGCCATAAACCTAACCATAACCCTATAACAACTCTAACCCTAACCCTAACCCTAGCGCTAACCCTAACCCTAAACCAAGCCCTAGCCCTAACCCTAAACTTAACCTTAACCCTAGCCCTAGCCCTAACCTTCACCCTAACCCTAACCCTAGCCCTAAACCTAACACTAACCTTAGTCCTAGCCCTAGCCTTAACCCCAAACCTAGCCCTAGCCCTAAACCTAACCCTAACCCTAGCCATAACTCTAACCATAACCCTAATCATAACCCTAACCCATCTTAACCTTAGCCTTAGCTCTAACCCTAAACCTAGCCCTAATCCTAACCCTAAAACTAACCCTAGCCCAAGCCCTAGCCCTAGCTCTAGCCCTAACCCTAACCCTAGCCTGGCCCTGGCCCTAGCCCTAACCCTAACCCTAACACTAACCCTAGCCCTAGCCCTAGCCCTAACACTAACACTAACCCTAGCCCTAGCCCTAGCCCTAGCCCTAACACTAACACTAACCCTAGTCCTAGCCTGATAATTCACTCTGATTCGTGAGAGAGCAGATGGCCCAGGGGGGTGTCAGCTTCCCGTTCTTGGGTGCTCTCACTCTGTGCCTCCTGTGGATGTGCTGTGGTGCCCTGGGCAGGCACAGAGCAGATCCCTGCAGGAAGCCTGCCCGGGCTCACCCTGCCCGGCCTTGGGAGTGGGAGCCCAGGGGAGGACAGGCTACCCCGGGCCTGGCCGTGAGGAGCCGGGCTCTTCTGCTTCCTAGAGCAGGCGGACGGAGACTTCATACCTATTGTTCTGGAAGTTTTCAAAGCCAAATATGTCCAGGAGGCCGATGGCCCTGCGCACAGGCCTGGGGTCCTGAGCGGGGGGCGTGAAAATCGCAGCGTTGATCTTCTTGACTATCCACAGGAAGAGGTGCCCGTAGATGCCCTGAGGAGACGTGGCGCACTGTGGGCTGTGGGCCCAGGAGGAAGGCTGCCCTCGGACCCGCTGAGGGCGTCATCCCGCTTACAGGCGAGAGCCCAGCCCAGGGAGGCGGGGAGGCAGAGCCAGGGCTGCCAGCACACACGCCCCGCCCACCCCTCCCACACTCCGCACCTTGGCCAGGGCGTCCCTGCGGTCGGCAGCCTGCGGGGCGCTCAGCGGCCTGGCCACCAGCTCCCCGCGGATGGCGATGGTGTGCTTGAGCAGACAATCCCGGAGCGCCTGCTGTGGCACCTGCAAGGAGGGGCAGCTGACGGGCAGGGCTGCTCCGGGTCCTGACCTGCTGTGCCAGGCCAGTCCCTCTCATGACCAACACGTGGGCCCCAGGCCTGAGGGAGGGCCATGCCTGTGATGAGGGCCAGGCCAGGGGGACCAGGGTCGCATCCTGGGAGGGCGGCCGAGGGTCAGTCTGAGCGCTGGGGTCAGAGCATTCGGGTGCACCAGCTGGGCCCTGAGCTCAGCTGACCAGCCCTCCTCCCTCCCTCCCTCCCTCCCTCCTGCCCTCCCTTCCCTTCTTTTTTCTCTTCTTCTGATTCTATTATTTCCCATCAGAACAGCCAAGGGGGGCGGCATTCCCTGCCGGTGAGGCTCCGTTTCTCAGCGTCTGCGGAGGCTAAAGGTGTGAGCACCCCCTTTCCAGAGCAGCAGCCTGGGAGAGGCTGGGGGAGGCGCATTGATGGGAGCTGGGGAAGACCCAGGAAGGGTCCGGTCCTGCGGGGGAGCATGGTGTGGATGGAGAGCGAGCCACTCTCTGCTGGTGGCTGGGTTAGCTCACACGGCTCCCTCGGCTCCTCCCAGGCTGCGGCAGAAGGTGCGGGGCTCACTGAGAGCCGGGAAGGGTGATGGGGATCAGGGTCGGGTGTCAGCTGGCCCTGGGAGCCGGCAGACACCAGGCAGGCTACCTCCAGGAATGTGGCCACGGCGGGGAAGGCGGGCGTCTCCCTCACATCGGAGGAATCCAGGTTCTCGAAGAAGGCGGCTGCGGAGAGGGTGGCGCTGAGTGGCAGAGCACCCTGAGTGCGGGTGAGGCGGGGCCCAGGCCCGCCTCCGGGTGCTCCCTGGCCCTGCTCTGCTCCTCAGGAAGGATGGAGAAGTGGGGTTTGGGGAGAGGCGGTGGGCAGGGCGGGGCCGTGGGACAGACGGGGCAGAGGGGCCCATGAAGGAGGGATGAGTCACCGGCCCTTAGCTCCTGGCGGGCCCTGGGGGGAGAGCCTGGAGAGGGTCTTTGTCCCTCCCCTGCACCCCTCTGCCCGGCGCCTGAGGGCCGGTACCCGTGAACTCCACGTTCCCCAGGTGGAGGATGGCCGCCAGCAGCTTGCTGAGGGCCCAGTGCTCGGAGTCGGAGAACATGAGGATCTTGAGCGCGGAGCGCACGTGGGCGTAGTCCTTGGCGTCGGCCAGGCCCTCGCAGGAGGTGCAGCTCCCCTGCGGAACGGCATCAGCTTCTTAGCCCCACACCCTTCCTCGTGCAGGGCCAACAGGGCGAAGCCGGAGGCCTCAGCCTCAGCCTCAGCGGCCACGGCAGGTCCCTCCGGAGGCAGGACGAGACGGACAGCAAGGCCGAGGCCCTGCTCCAGCCTCGCCTTGCCACCCACAGCGACTCCTGAGCACCCTCCCTGGGGACACCCTGTGGCCACTTAACCGACCGGTGCCAGGCTCTGTGTGCCAGGCTCTGTGCCACTGCCCTGCCTGTGCTGTGCCAGAGGCGGCGGGCAGGAGGCATGGCTGCCTCACAGGTGCCAAGAGCAGGGCAGGCGGTGCCGAGCGCTGGCGAGTGAGGCAAGTCCCCAGGAGGGGCTCTGGCTGCCCCACGGGCGGAGCTCCAAGGGGCTCCGGGAGAGCAGCTGGCTGGGCAGGAGCCAGGGCCACAAGGGCGGGGAGGACTAGTGGTGAAGGGGGAGGGACTTGCAAACATGCCACTGGCCTGGGGGAGGTCTGCAGGGTGAGTGACTGGGCAGGCCTCACGCCTGCAGAGAGCAGGGTGGCATGTGTGTGTGTGTGTGTGTGTGTGTGGGGGGGTGATACACTAGGTATGGAGGGGCCCAGGGTCCTGCCAAGGCCCAGGCAAGAGCTGAAGGCCAGGCAGTGCCTGAGGGGTTGCCCGGGAGAGGACGTGGGAGATGGACGCCGCCCAAAAAGTGCAAGCAGGCTGCTGGCTCTCCAGGGCTCACGATGTGGAGTGCGATGGGGGTGCGATGGGGGTGCGATGGGAGTGCGATGGGGGTGCGATGAGAGTGCGATGGGGGGCGATGGGGGTGCGATGGGGGTGCGATGGGGGTGCGATGGGGGTGTGATGGGGCGATGGGGGTGCGATGGGGCGATGGGGGTGCGATGGGGGTGCGATGGGGGTGCGATGGGGCGATGGGGGTGCGATGGGGGTGCGATGAGAGTGCGATGGGAGTGCGATGGGGGTGCGATGGGGGTGCGATGGGGGTGCGATGGGAGTGCGATGGGGCGATGGGGGTGCGATGGGGGTGCGATGGGGGTGCGATGGGGGTGCGATGGGGCGATGGGGGTGCGATGGGGGTGCGATGAGGGTGCGATGGGAGTGCGATGGGAGTGCGATGGGGGTGCGATGGGGCGATGGGGGTGCGATGGGGGTGCGATGAGAGTGCGATGGGAGTGCGATGGGGGTGCGATGGGGGTGCGATGGGGGTGCGATGGGAGTGCGATGGGGCGATGGGGGTGCGATGGGGGTGCGATGGGGGTGCGATGGGAGTGCGATGGGGGTGCGATGGGGGTGCGATGGGAGTGCGATGGGGGTGCGATGGGGGTGCGATGGGGGTGCGATGGGGGTGCGAGGGGGTGCGATGGGGGTGCGATGGGGGTGCGATGGGAGTGCGATGGGGCGATGGGGGTGCGATGAGGGTGCGATGAGGGTGCGATGGGGGTGCGATGGGGGTGCGATGGGGGTGCGATGGGGGTGCAATGGGGCGATGGGAGTGCGATGGGGGTGCGATGGGGGTGCGATGGGGGTGCGATGGGGGTGCGATGGGGGTGCGATGGGGGGGCGATGGGGGGCGATGGGGGTGCGAGGGGGGGTGCGATGGGGGTGCAATGGGGCGATGGGAGTGCGATGGGGGTGCGATGGGGGGGTGCGATGGGGGGCGATGGGGTGCGATGGGGGGTGCGATGGGGGTGCGATGGGGGGCGATGGGGTGCGATGGGGGTGCGATGGGGGGCGATGGGGGGCGATGGGGGGCGATGGGGGTGCGATGGGGGTGCGATGGGAGTGCGATGGGGGGCGATGGGGGTGCGATGGGGGTGCGATGGGGGGGCCCTCAGGAAGCTGTGGAGGACGGAGCTCAGCCTGAAGCCCTCCTTCTTCCTCCTCTGGGGCTGTAGGGGCAGGCGGGGTGCAGGGGAGGGGGATGGAGCCAGGAGAGTGGGGTGGGGCAGGGTCAGAGCAAGGAGGGGGGGAAGCAAAGAGGAGGAGGGTGGGGTGGGGGGAGCAAAGAGGGGTGGGGCTCACCGAGGTCAGGTAGCGGTACTCTGCGGGCGAGCCCAGCTGCAGCAGTGCCCTCTCCTCGGGGCGCATGCCCAGGAGCATGCAGTAGAAGATGTGGAAGTTCCGCTCCTGCGGGGCCTGGGGGAAGTGGTGCCTGAAGCGGCAGCGCCTCGGAGCCGTGGGCCAGCGGCGGCTGCTCCATGGCCTCTCAGCCCGCGGGCGCCGCACTGAGGCACAGGGCCTGCAGGCCGCGCCCTCAGCCCAGGTGCCCGAACCATCCCTCAGGCACTGCCCCAAAGCCCTCAGGGCACCCTCCCTGAAGTCCTGGGCCAGGGCGTGCCCTCCTCGCCTCAGCATGAAGTCCAGTAAAGGTGAGGAGAAGGGGTGCCAACGAATGAGAACATTATATGGATGAAAAATTCAGAACAAAATCCTGCATTTCTTGTCTTTGAATACTGGGCAAGGGCCATTATTATTCAACTGAAGGCCCGACGCACAAATTCGTGCAAGAGTAGGCCCTTGCGGCCCACCCCTGCCCACTGGTGGTTCTGGAAGGCCGTTCCACCAACCAGTCTAATTAGCACATTAGCTCTTTATTATATAGGATTCCAGGGATCCTTGGCCCATCTTAGGGTAGGACCAGGGTTCTGGGACAGCAACTAAGACCTTTGGGGGCACTGAAAAGGTTCCTGGGGAGAGAGTGATGGAAGGCCTCCTGGGAGCCTTCCAAATCCTGAATCCCCCTTTGGGGCAAATGGAGATTGCCCTCACCTGCCTGCAGACCCGGGACTTCTCCAGGAGAAACTGCTCGATGCGTGCACTTTCGATGATCCCACTGGGGTTGAAGTAGATGTCAATGTACTTCCCGAAGCGGCTTGAGTTGTCATTTCGGATTGTCTTGGCGTTTCCAAAGGCTAAGGCCAGAGGATGGTGCCCGTGGTGGGAGCAGAGAGGAGAAAACAAACTTTTTAGCAGGGTCATCTGGGAGGGCTTCTCAGAGGAGGTGGCGGGCCCAGAGTTGAAAACTAAGTAGACCATGCTCAGAGGAAGGCAAAGTGCAGTGCAGATCTGGAGGCCAGAAAGCGTGGAGTGTGCTTGCAGAGTGTGCGAGTTGGCCGGAGCACAGGATCCAGGAGAAAGGCAGTGGGAGACATAAAGCACTCACAAGTAAATGGGATTAGCACAGAGCCTTGAACGCCAGGCTTACTCTGACTTGCTTCCTCTGAGCCCCAGCAGTGGGGATTTTGGGGGACCCAGACGCATATGGGAGGAACTGGATGGTCTGCCACTGGAGAAGGAACTCGGGTGGCTTTCTCCCAGAGGGGGTGCTTGCAGGGGTCATTGTCCTGTGCTGGGGCCTTTCCTGTTGCAGGATTGACTGGCAGCCATATCTGAGTCTCCATCAGCCTGGAGCACCCTGTTTGCTCTGCCCTAAGGATTCCCTGAGATCCTGCCCCATCCAATTTGCAGCCCCACCCAACCTGTTTGCAGCAGTTTTCCCATATGAATGGCCTGTCCTGGCTCAGGCTTCAGACTTTCATAAAATATCTCAGACAAGCTGCAACTGATGACAATGTGCTCCAAACCTATAAATAAAAGACCCAAGACCCAGCACTAGCACCAACCTGTATTGCTTCACAACTGGGCCTCACCTAGGAACCTCCAAACCCAATACAAATAGCAAAGAGCAGTCATCTTCAGATCCCTCTGTAGCTCCTGCCAGGTGGCCTCAGTCAGTGGCTGACTCTGCCCCTCCCTGGAGGCCCCAGAGCCAGTGCACCTGGTGGACAGCTTCAGACCACAGCAAATTACAGCTCTACACACCCACACGCAACACACTCAAGGGGCAGACTCACTGAGCAATAAAGCCCCACTGGAGCAAGTCCTGCTCCATAGTCTGTCTCCTGGGCAACAGATCTTCCCCTGTAGACACAGCGGAATTGGCCCGGAGGTCAGCTCCTCCCAGAGATGCCAACAGCTATCAAGGCTCAACTACAAGACTGTGCACACAGCCCACATGGGTGCACCTAGAGTGCCCAGCCCAGGTGACTGGGGAGGCTGAGTCACGGGGCCCTACAGGACACCTACTACACAAGGCTACTCTGCCAATTCCAGGAGACATAGCAGCCCTATCGAATACACAGAAACAAACACAGGAAACAGCCAAAATGCGGAGACAAGAACAAAAACAAAAACACACCAAAAAACATGTCACAAATGAAAGAAACTACCGGATATAGAGTTCAAAACATGATAATAAAGTTACTCAAGGTTCTTCACGACACTTTTAAGGGTCTTAGTGAGAATGTCAAAGACATGAAAAAGGACCAGTCAGAAATTAAGCATACACTAACTGAAATAGAGAATAATTTAGCCCGAGCTGGTTTGGCTCAGTGGATAGAGTGTCAGCCTTCAGACAGGGTTTGCTTCCTGTCAAGGCCACATGCCCAGGTTGTGGGCTCCATCCCCAGTAGGGGGCATGCAAAAGGCAGCCAATTGGTGATTCTCTTCATCATTGATGTTTCTAACTCTCTCTCCCTCTTCTTCCCTCTCTGAAATCAATAAAAATATATTTTTAAAAAGAAGAATATAGCCGAAGCCGGTTTGGCTCAGTGGTAGAGTGTCGGTCTGCGGACTGAAAGGTCCCAGGTTTGATTCCGGTCAAGGGTATGCACATTGGTTGCGGGCACATCCCCAGTAGGGGGTGTGCAAGAGGCAGCTGGTTGATGTTTCTCTCTCATTGACGTTTCTAGCTCTCTATCTCTCTCCCTTCCTCTCTGTAAAAAAATCAATAAAACATATTTAAAAAAAAAAAGAAGAATATACAGGGATTCAACAGTGGAGTAGAGGAGTCTGAGAATCAAATCAATAATTTGGACTATAAGGAAGCAAAAACACCCAATCAGAAGAGCAAAAAGAAAAAAAGAATTAAAAAATATGAAAATAGTGTAAGAAGCCTCTGGGACAAATTCAAGCATACCAACATTTGCATTATGGGGGTGCCAGAAGAAGATAAGAGAGAGCAATATATTGAGAACCTATTTGAAAAAATAATGACAGAAAACTTACCCTATCTGGTGAAAGAAATAGACTTATGAATACAGGGAGCACAGAGAATCCCAAATAGTAGGAACCCAAAGAGGCCCATACCAAGACACATTGTAATTAAAATGCCAAGGGTTAAAGACAAAGAGAGAATCTTACAAGCAGCAAGAATCTTACAGTTATCTACAAGAGAGCACTCATATGATTGTCACCTGATTTCTCAACAGAAACTATGCAGGCTAGAAGGGAGTGGCAAGAAATATTCAAAGTGATGAATAACAAGGACCTACCACCAAGATTACTGTACCTAGCAAAGCTATCATTCAGAATTGAAGGGCAGATAAAGAGCTTCACAGATCAGAAAAAGCTGAAGGAGTTCATCACCACCAAACCAGTATTATATGAAATGTCGAAGGTTATTCTTTAAGAAGAGGAAGGAGAAGGAGAAGGAGAAGGAGAAGGAGAAAGAGAAAGAGAAGGAGAAGAAAAGATAAACAAATATGAACAATAAAATGCCAATAAATACATATCTATCAACAATTGAATCTAAAAAAAATAAATGAACAAAGAGTCTAATTAACAGAATAAACTGGTGGATAAAATAGAATCAGAGGCATGGGAATATGGAACAGACTGACAAATGTCAGAAGGAAGGGGGGGCAGTTTTGGGAAGTGATTAACCAAAGATTTATATGCATATAGGCATTACCTATGGACACAGGCGATAGGGTGGTGAAGGCCTGGGGCAGGGCAGGTGGAGGGGGGCAATGGAGAAAAAAAACTGAGGGACATTTGTAATACTCTCAACAATAAAGAATTTTTTTAAAAAAAGATTAAAAAAAAAAAAAGAATCCAGAAATAGACCCAGTGAATGATCAATTGATTTTAGATAAAAGTGCAAAAGCAATTCAATGGAGAAAGAATGGTCTTGTCAACAAATGGAGCTGAAATGATTGGCTAGCCATAGGGAAAGAAGGAAAGAACTAAGGGAGGGAGAGAAAGGAAAGAAAAGAGAAAGAGTCCTAACCGGTTTGGCTCAGTGGATAGAGCATCGGCCTGCGGATTGAAGGGTCCCAGGTTTGATTCCAGTCAAGGGCATGTACCTTGGTTGCGGGCACATCCCCAGTAGGGGGTGTGTAGGAAGCAGATGATTGATGTTTCTCTCTCATCGACTTTTCTAACTCTCTATCCCTCTCCCTTCCTCTCTGTAAATAATCAATAAAATATATTTTTTTTAAAGAGAAAGAGGGAGAAACCAAGATGGTGGCATAGGGTAGACACCTGAATGCAGCCTACCACAACAAATTTGAATTTAGAACTGGAAAACAGGGGAAACATCACCCTGAAGCGCCAGACGGCTGGCTGAGAGGAGGCTCTACCATCTGGGAAGGAGAGAGAAGGCGCGCTGAACCTCAGGAACTGTGAAGGTGCGGAGAACTGTGCACGAAAAGGCAGCCACAGTTTGCTGCTGGCTTGCTTGCAGAGAGGGCGGGCCGAGTACGCTGCTGGCTTAGTCACTGCGCACGGAGAGGGAGGACAGCTAATGCGTGGCTAGCTTTCTTGTTTTTGGCAGGAAAACAGAACCACCCTATTGCGCTGACAGACGGCCCCAGACAGGGAGAGGCCAGACTGTCAGGCAGTGGGCAGGGATCTCTCAGAGGTGTGTGAAGCCAGTGGCCATTACTTCGGGACTCAGAAACAGACCCTCATAGGGAGGGGCTGAATAAAGCTTGTCTGCACCACCATAGACTCTGCCTCATCCAAGCGGAGCACAGAAGCCTTTTCAGTGTCTAGCTTTCTCGTTTGCCGTGAATAGGACTCTCTTAGGGAGAAACAGACAGGAATCCAAAGCTTCTCTGAGCCTGTACCAAAGAGGTGTGTGTGCCTGCAACCAATCTTGTGGGATTCACCAAAGCTTGGTTGCACCACCCCAAGACTCTGCCCCATCCAAGCAGAATACAGAAACCCTCCTAACTGAGACACTTCTGATCCTCATAGCCAATTGGCTTGGATGTCAACGCTTCCCAGTGATACCAACAACAAGCAAGGCTTAACAACAAGACTGCGCACACAGCCCACAAAGGGCGACACCAAGACTGTCCACCTCAGGTAACTGGGAGGCTGACTCACTGAACCATATAGGACATCTTAGCACACAAAGCCACCCTACCAACTCAGGGAAGCTATGAAAATGCCGAGACAAGGAAACAGATCACAAACAAAAGAAATGGAAGAAAAGAAGTGACTAGATATAGAGTTCAAAACCATGCTTATACGGTTTTTCAAGAAATTCCTAGAAAAGGCCAATAAAATAAATAAGACCTATGAGGATATGAAAAGGGAGCAACTAAAATAAAGAATACATTTTCTGAAATAAAAAAAATATTATACAGAGTCCTAAAAACAGAATGGAAGATCACAAGAATCAAGTCAAAGATTTGGAACACAAAGAGCCAGAGGACACTCCTTCACAGAAGCAAGAAGATAAGAGAATCCAGAAAGTTGAAGATAATGTAAGAAACCTCTGGGACAACTTCAAGTGAACCAACATCAGAATTATGGGGGTCCCAGGAGATGAGAGAGAGCAAGATACTGAAAGAATAATGGAAGAAATAGTGACAGAAAACTTCCCCCACCTGGGGAAAGAAGTAGACTTACAAGTTCAGGAAGCACACAGAACCCCAAACAAAAGGAATCCAAAGAGGACCACACCAAGACAAATAATAATTAAAATTCCAAGAGCAAAAGACAAAGAGAGAATATTAAAAGCAGCAAGAGTAAAGAAGGTAGTTACCTATAAAGGAGCACCCATAGGATTGTCAGCTGATTTCTCAATAGAAACCATGCAGGCCAGACAGGAATGGCAAGAAATATTCAAGGTGATGAATAGCAAGAACCTACAGCCAAAAATACTCTACCCAGCAAAGCTATCACTCAGAATCAAAGGCCAGATAAAGAGCTTCACAAATAAAAAAAAAGCTAAAGGAGTTCATCAGCACCAAACCAGAATTATATGAATTGCTGAAGGGGGTTCTTTAGGAAGAGGAAGAAGATATAGATAAAAATTATGATCAACAAATATGTAACTATTAACAAGTGAATCTAAAAACCAAGGAAATTAAAAAACCTGATGAACAATATTAACTGGTGAATATAATAGAATCAGAGGTATGGAAGGGGAGTGGACTGACGATTCTCGGGGCAAAGGGGAGTGGGGGTGCGGGAAGAGACTGAACATTAAACTGTGCACCTATGGATGAGGACAATGGGGGCTGGGGAAAGGGCAGAGGGTGGGGTGGGAACCTGGTGGATGGCAGCAATGGAGGGGGGATAAAAAATGAGGAACATTTGTAATAATATGAATAATAAAGATTTATTAAAAAAGAAAGAAAGAAAGATTCAACTTGTACCTTTCACCCCAGAAAAAATTAACATAAAATGGATCATATACCTGAGTGTAAAACTCAGAATTACACATATTAAAAAAAACATAAAAGAAAATCTCAGCTAGGCACAGATTTCCTAGATATAACACCAAAAGCATAATCAATAAAAGAAAAAAATGGTAAGTTACACCTTATCAAAATCTAAAACGTCTACCCTACAAAAACAGGGTTAAGAGAATGAAAGGACAAACCACAGATGGGGAGGGGGTGGGGGAAGAGGAGGGAGTGGCTTATTTGCAGAACACCTATCTTATAATAAACTGGTATCCAGAAACGTAACTAACTCTTACAAAATCATAAACAAGGAGTTAACTAAGTCACAAAATAGGCCAAACTCTGAACAGACACGTCACCAGAGAGCCGCGGATGGGAAGTGAGCAGGAGAGCAGGAGGAAAGCGGCGGCAGCTGGCACACTGGCGTGCGTGAGAGCGCGGGAGGCGCTGGCCCCCATGCCGACCGGCCGTGGGCAGTTCCTGACAAAGCCAGAGTGCTCATTTACCACCCACAATTTTACACCTGCTTATTGGAGCGAAAAACACGTGCTTACACAAAAGCCTGTGTGCAGCTACTGGCGGGGGCTTTATTAGTAATCACTAACAACTACGCACAGCCCAGAGGCCCTTGGCTTGAGCAAGCTGTGGCAGCGCCATGCAAAGGAGCAAGAGGCATAACCCGTAATGCAACAACACGAGAAAGCCAATAATTATGCCAACGAAAGCAACCAGACCCAAAGGCTGCAAGCTGTATGATTTTAATCGCATGACCTGTGGAAAAGATAAAACTGCAGGGGAAAAGCACAGATCAGTGGTTGCCAGGGGCCGGGGCTGGGAAGAGAGCTAACTACAAAGGGAAGTGTGGGGCTGATGAGGGTTGTATGACTTGTATGAGTTTGTCAAAACTCAAAACTGTACGTCAAAAAGGTGAATCTCTACTGTATGCAAACCACACCTCAATGACAAAGAAAAAGGGCACCTCTTGGCCCGTGGCTGACAGCCTTGGCTGAGGTCGCCCGCTCACAGCTATCCCACCAGAGGCGGAGGGAGGGCCCGGCAGGACTCTGGCATTGATGCAGAGCTCCATGGGGTGGGCCAGCCCTCAGGCCTGCACTGCAGAGTCCATCCTGCCCAGTCCTGCCCTTTGCTGGCCCAAGGGTCCTGCAGCACCGGTCGGGAGGCGGGTCCCGGCCCTGCTCCTGCCCTCCCGGAGCCTCTGCAGGCCTAGCCCCACTGGCGACCGCTTCCGAGGGCCGGAACCCAATCCCCAGCATGGCCCAAGCTCATTTCATCTTGGACCCCTTTTGAAAGAGGACGTGTTTGATCTGTGGAGAGCACGCTGAGTCGAAGCTTCATGGACATCAGCTCTGCTTCGTGCTTCCTCGAGGCCCCACACTCCCACCCCAACCTTTCGTGTCCTGGGGAGTCCTCAGAAGTCGCTGAAAGTGGGTGCCCCTCTGTCCTTCCCAGGCCCCTGGCCGAAGCTCTTCCTACAGGGAGGCGGGGGGGGGCGGGGGCACCTGCTCACCCTCCAGGATGGGGTTGGCCTCCAGCACCTGCTGCTCGATCCAGGAATGCTGGCCGCTGACTGTGGCCAGAAACTGCAGGATGAGCTTGGTGGTCTCCGTCTTCCCAGCCCCGGACTCGCCACTGCAGACGGAGAGGGGCTTAGTAGATAGAAAAGGAGATTTTCCGCCCCTCAACTCTCTGCAGGCCCCCCCCCCCCCCCCCACACACACACACAGGCCTGCTTCCTGGGCCGGTCTGAGCAGACACCTCTCCCCAGGCGAGGCCCACATGCGCCCCATGTGGTCCAGGGTCACAGGCACAGCAATTTTCCCCCTGAGAATATTTTCCTGAATTTTTCTAAACTTTTCATAGAGAATATATATTAGTTTCATGGTGGTGAGAAATGAAAAAGTTTTTAAAATTACTTAGGACATGTAATTAAGTTAGAAAATATATTGTGTCCTTGGTTGCAGGCACATCCCCAGAAGGGGGCGTGCAGGAGGCGGCTGATCTATGTTTCTCTCTCACCGATGTTTCTAACTCTCTATCCCTCTCCCTTCCTCTCTGTAAAAAAAAATAATAAAGTATTTAAAAAAGAAAAAAAAAGAAAGAAAATATGCAGTGTCTGGCACATGGCAAACACTCACATTTGTAATGATGAATATTACTGCTATTGCTGAGGCTTAGACGTTACTGCTGTGTGATTACTCTGCACGGACACTGTCGGGCACTACAGACGGAGGCAGCAGAGCGCAGTGTCTGCTAACACAGCGGGCCCTGGCGCAGTGCTGCCCCGGGCTCAGGCAGGCCTGCCCTGTCAGCGGCCCAGGGCCTGGACGGGACAGTTTGCACGATGAACTCCCACGATCCCGTTTCCGGCTTCAACTCTTGGCCCATTTTGTTTCCCCTCTTGCACTATTTTGAAGTGAATCCCAGACAAATACTGTTTAATCTGAAAATGTTAATTTTTAAAAAGTTTTGCTATGCCAGTGAAGTCAGCCAGCTCCCAGAGCCCCAGCCAAATCAGACGGAGCCCCTGCCTCTGATGCAGGAGCAGGGCAGGGGGAGGGGCAGGGGCAGGGCAGGGCAGGGGCAGGGCAGGGGCAGGGGCAGGGACAGGGCAGGGGCAGGGCAGGGGCAGGGCAGGGGCAGGGCAGGGACAGGGCAGGGACAGGGACAGGGACAGAGCAGGGCAGGGGCAGGGCAGGGCAGGGCAGGGACAGGGACAGGGACAGAGCAGGGCAGGGGCAGGGACAGGGCAGGGCAGGGCAGGGCAGGGGCAGGGGCAGGGACAGGGCAGGGCAGGGGCAGGGACAGGGCAGGGCAGGGACAGGGACAGGGCAGGGCAGGGGCAGGGCAGGGGCAGGACAGGGCAGGGGCAGGGGCAGGGCAGGGGCAGGACAGGGCAGGACAGGGGGAGGGGTAGGGGCAGGGCAGGGACAGGGACAGGGACAGAGCAGGGCAGGGGCAGAGACAGGGCAGGGGCAGGGGGAGGGGGAGGGGCAGGGCAGGGCAGGGCGGGGGCAGGGACAGGACAGGGGCAGGACAGGGACAGGGCAGGGCAGGGACAGGGCAGGACAGGGCAGGGCAGGGGCAGGGCAGGGGCAGGGACAGGGACAGAGCAGGGCAGGGGCAGGGCAGGGCAGGGCAGGGACAGGGACAGGGACAGAGCAGGGCAGGGGCAGGACAGGGCAGGGCAGGGGCAGGGACAGGGCAGGGCAGGGGCAGGGGCAGGGACAGGGCAGGGCAGGGGCAGGGACAGGGCAGGGCAGGGGCAGGGCAGGGGCAGGACAGGGCAGGACAGGGGGAGGGGTAGGGGCAGGGCAGGGACAGGGACAGGGACAGAGCAGGGCAGGGGCAGAGACAGGGCAGGGGCAGGGGGAGGGGGAGGGGCAGGGCAGGGCAGGGCAGGACAGGGCAGGGAAGGGCAGGGCAGGGGCAGGGCAGGGCAGGGCAGGGCAGGGCAGGGGCAGGGACAGGGCAGGGCAGGGCAGGGCAGGGCAGGGCAGGGACAGGTCAGGGGCAGGGGTAGGGGCAGGATAGGGCAGGGCAGGGCAGGGCAGGGACAGGGCAGGGCAGGGCAGGGCAGGGACAGGGCAGGGCAGGGCAGGGCAGGGCAGGGACAGGGCAGGGCAGGGACAGGGCAGGGCAGGGCAGGACAGGCCCGGCAGGGCAGGGCAGGGCAGGGCAGGCAGGGCAGGGCAGGGCAGGGCAGGGGCAGCAGCAGTCGGACTGGCTGGCTCAGTGTCACGCAGAGGGTGGGAGGTCCAGTGTTCCACCCTCTCCGCAGGCACGGGTCCAGTGTTCCACCCTCTCCGCAGGCACGGGCCCTGTTGTGAAAGCGAGGCTGTAGCCTGCAGGCAGCCACGCCGGTCACCAGGCTAGGGGCAGGGCGGCAAAGCCTGAGAGGGTCAGAGGGAGCTGGGCAGGGAGCCAGGGCAGTGAGTGGGACAAGGACACTGAGGCAGAGCTGAACAACCCGCAGGCCCATGCACAGCAGACAGAAGCCCCTCGGTGGCAGCTCAGCTCCAGATGCAGGAAAGCAGCAAAGCCAGGTGAGTGGCAGAGGCCAGCTGTGATGCCTGAGGAGCCCCTGCCCTGGCGCCCACCTGGAAATTGATGGGTTTCTATTAAGACCTCCCCTGTGTTCCCCCCCCCCCCCCAAGATTCCCGCCTGCAAGAGAGATAAAAGCCTCAGGACACAGGACCCAGCTCTCCCAGACAGCACCATCTTCCCTTCCCTCTCCCCCACAGTGTGCATCTCCTCACTCCAGGGGCCTCAGGGGTGGGCGGGCCACCAGGCAGCGCAGGACAGGCTGATCCCCAGCCTTCCCCAAAGGCCCCGTCTGAGAGCGAGGGCCCAGCTGGCGCTCCTGCTGCTTCCTCTCTGCGAAGCCCTCCTTGTCCCCGCTCCTCGCGTCACCTGACTCCGCTGGGAAACCTTTCCCGGGAAGCCTACGACCCACCCGCTCCTGGCTGGCCCCGGCAGCTGCTCAGGGCCAGGCCTTGCTGGGCACAGGGCACCAGCTCCCGGAACAGAGCCCTCTCCCTGGGAGAAGGGGCATCACCCGCCCTCTTCTCTTCCGAGGCCTGGGTCTCAGTCCCTGCCTGTCGCTGTCTGTCCCTGGGAGGGCCTCTAGCCCTCTCTGGCTGTAGGACAGGGGCAGGGGCAGGGGCATGACCGCCTGACAGAGCTGCTGCTGCATGAAGCTCGGGGCCTGTGCTGCCACGGCCTCTCCTCCACTGGGGGCTGGATGGCCAGCCCTCCACCAGGCACGGCCGACTCTCTCTTCCCTGCATGCTTCACCTCAAGGCTCCCAGGACCGGCTGGGAACACTGCTACTTATTGTCCCCTGAATGTCTCCCTTCTCCAACATGGATGCTCCTCGAGACAGGACTGTGGGCTCTCCACCTTAGGATGGGAGGCATAGGTGGAGCACAGCAGCACCTCTGATGAGTGAGTGAATGAGTAGTGAGGGAATGAATGAGTGAGGGAATGAGTGAGTGAGGGAATGAGTGAGTGAGGGAATGAGTGAGTGAGGGAATGAGTGAGTGAGGGAATGAGTGAGTGAGGGAATGAGTGAGTGAGGGAATCAGTGAGGGAATGAGTGAGTGAGGGAGTGAGTGAGGGAATGAGTGAGTGAGGGAATGAGTGAGTGAGGGAATGAGTGAGTGAGGGAGTGAGTGAGTGAGGGAGTGAGTGAGGGAATGAGTGAGTGAGGGAATGAGTGAGTGAGGGAATGAGTGAGTGAGGGAATGAGTGAGTGAGGGAATGAGTGAGTGAGGGATTGAGTGAGTGAGGGATTGAGTGAGTGAGGGAATGAGTGAGTGAGGGAATCAGTGAGTGAGGAATTGAGTGAGTGAGGGAATCAGTGAGGGAATGGAGTGGGAGTGGGGAATGCGTGAGTGAGGGAATGGAGTGAGTGCGGGATGCAGTGAGTGAGGGACATGAGTAGAGTGCGAGCTATGCGTGAGTGAGGGCCAAGCGTGAGTGAGGGCCTGAGTGCGTGAGGGATTGCGTGCAGTGAGGGATTGCGTGCGTGCGGGCATGCAGTGCGTGCGGGCATGCGTGCGTGCGGGCCTGCGTGCTGCGCGGACATGAGTGACGTGAGCGTGCGTGAGGGATTGAGTGCGTGCGGGAATGAGTGCGTGCGGGCTCCGTGAGTGAGGGCTTGCGTGAGTGCGGGACCGTGCGGGCATGCGTGCGGTGCGGGCCGTGCGTGCTGCGGGCCTGCGTGCGTGCGGGCGGGACCAGGCCTGCGTGCGGGCGGGCATGCGTGCGGGCGGGCGTGCGGGCCTGCGTGCGTGAGGGCCTGCGTGCGGGCCTGCGCGTGCAGGGCCTGCGTGCAGTGCGGGACTGCGTGAGTGCGGGACTGAGCGTGAGTGCGGGAATGCAGTGCGTGCGGGGCCTGCAGTGCGTGCAGGCATGCGTGAGTGCGGGCCTCAGTGCGTGCAGGCCATGCGTGAGTGCGGGCCTGCAGTGCGTGCGTGCCTGCGTGCGTGAGGGCTAATGCCTGCGTGAGGGCATGCGTGCGTGCGGGACTGCGTGCGTGCGCGCTTGCAGTGAGTGCGGGACTGCGTGCGTGAGGGCAATGAGTGCGTGCGGGCATGCGTGGCGTGCGGGCTATGGCGTGCGTGCCGGCCTGCGTGCGTGCGGGCCTGACTGCGTCAGTGCCGGGCACTGCGTGCGTGACGGGCCTGCCTGCGTAGGGGACTGCGTGCGGTGCGGGCGTGCGTGCGTGCGGGCATTGCGTGCAGTGCGGGCTTGCGTGCGTGCGGGCCTGCGTGCGTGCGGGCCTGCATGCGTGAGTGCGTGACTGCGTGCGTGCGGGCCTGCGTGCGTGGCGGGCCTGCAGTGCGTGCGGGCCTGGCGTGAGTGCGGGCCTTGCATGCGTGCGGGCCTGCGTGCGTGCGGGCCTGCGTGCGTGCGGGCTTGCGTGCGTGCGGGCCTGCGTGCGTGCAGGCCTGAGTCGGGGCGGGCCCTGCGTGCGTGAGGGCCGCTGCGTGCGGGCGTGCGTGCGGCTGGCTGCGTGCGGGCTTGCGTGGTGCGGGCTTGCGTGCGTGCGAGGCCTGAGTGCGTGCGGGCCTGCCTGCGTGCGTGCGGGCCTGCGTGCGTGGCGGGCCTGCCTGCGTGAGCGGCCGGCAGTGCGTGCGGGCTTGCGTGCGTGCGGGCCTTGAGTGCGTGACGGGGCTTGCTGCGTGCGGGCCGGCGTGCCGGCCTGCAGTGACGTGCGGGCCGGCGTGCCGTGCGGCCTGCGTGCGTGCGGGCTTGGCTGCGTGCGGGCCTGCGTGAGTGCGGCCTTCGTGCGTGCGGGCCTGCGTGCAGTAGCGGGCTGGTGCGTGCCAGGCACTGCGTGCGTTTGCGGGCCTGCCTGCGTGCGTGCGGGCCTGCGTGCGTGCGGCGTGCGTGCGTGCAGGGCGTGCCGTGCGGGATTGCGGGCGTGCGGGACTGCGTGCGTGCGGGCCTCAGTGCGTGCGGGCTTGCGGTGCTGCGGGCCTCCGTGCGGGCCGGCCGTGCGTGCGGGACGTGCGTGCGTGCGGGCATGCTGAGCGACGGGTGCTGCGTGCCTGCTGGCGCCTGCGTGCGGGCTGCGTGCGTGCGGGCCTGCGTGCGGGCCTGCGTGCGTGAGGGCGATGTTGCGTGCGGGCTATTGAGTGCGTGCGGGGCCTGCGTGCGTGGAGGCCTGCGTGAGGGACTGCGTGCGTGCGGGCGTGGCGTGCGGGCCTGCCGTGCGTGCGGGGCGGTGCGTGCGTGCGGGCCCTGCGTTTGGGTGCGGGGCGGATTGCGTGCGGGCCTCCCGCGTGCGGGCCTGCCGTGCCTAGCTGCCCCGCCTGAGATGCGGGCCTGCGTGAGTGAGGGTCTGCGGACTTGCGGCCCCAGGCACTAGTACTCTTGGATCCAAGCTCCCCCCCCTTGCTGTCCCCTCACCTGGCACCAGGGGGCAATGAGGTCAGGTCCTGGCAGGAGGGGACACCTCCCGCTGGGCCCAGTGCCAGAGGGCTGCCCCTGGGGCTGCTGTCTGTCCTCCCGTAGGTTGTGTTGTTTTTAGTGAGACTCACCTGTTTGACCACAGCCCAACGCTCCATTTCTCCATGAGCCCTCCCCCTCCCCCCTCTCGGCACCCCCCTCCCATCTCGGAACTAGTCACTGCGGTGGGGACAGTCCAGGCAAGCAGATGCTCTGGAAGAGCAGGTTCAGGAGGAAGGAAGGGAGGAGGGAGGGAGAAAGGGAGAAAGGGAAGGAGGGAGGGAGGGAGGGAGGAGGGGGGAGGGAGAGAAAGAGGAAGGGAGGGAGGAAGGGAGGAGGGAGGGAGAAAGGGAGAAAGGGAGGGAGGGGGGAGGGAAGGAGAAAGGGGTGGGGGAGGGGGAGGGGGCACCTTTCAGGGCAGAGGGCCGGCGGGGCTGGGTGCTGGGGGTCCTGGGCTGTGGGGAGTGTTTGCAGCTGGCCCGGAGCCCGGAGCCCGGAGCCGGAGCCGGAGCCGGAGCCCGGAGCCGGAGCCGGAGCCGGAGCCCGGAGCCGGAGCCGGAGCCGGAGCCCGGAGCCGGAGCCGGGCTGTGTGGGAGCTCAGAGAGGAGGCTCCCTCCGGGCAGAGGCGGCTGGCCTGCCTGTGGGACGGAAGGCCGCCCACCTGATGACGCAGCACTGGTCCCTCCGGTTCCTCTGCATGTCCAAGTAGCAGCCGCTGGCCACGGCGAAGACGTGCGGGGGCAGCTCGGCCGCCTGGCGGCCGTGGTACAGCTGCACCTGCTCCCGGGTGTAGAGGGGCAGCTCCTGGAAGGGGTTCACGGCCACCAGGATGGAGCCTATGTAGGTCTGGGGGCAGAGCAGGAGCTGTCTCTGTGCTCGGCGCCGCCGCTGGGGGGCGCTGATTCTGGCCAGGCCACAGGACCCTCAGCACTGGCCGTCCTCCGAGGAGGCGGGTCCGCAGTGTGAGCTCCGAGGGCGCTGGCCGGGGCTGAGCGAGGCGGCCGCTGTGGCCTGAGAAGCTGGAGGAAGCTGGGCTGGGCCTCGGGAGGCGGGTCACAGTGCCGGCCTCTGATCCCCCTGGGACCCGGGAGGGACCGCGGGCTCATGTGCAACCCCATAGCCCCACCTGCCCCCGCGGTGGACAGGGCAGCCTCCTGCACAAGTCACAGGACCGTCCCGTCTCAGAGGCCCTGCTGGCCGCCTGTGAGGCCTGACAGCCAGAGAGAGGGTAGTCTCCCCACCCCCACCCCCTCCCAGACAGGAGCTCCCATGCAGATTGGGAGGGCGGAGCGGGGAGGCCTCAAGAGCCCCTCCCAGGACCCCCTCTGGTCTTTGCTCACCCACCCCTTCGGGCGCCCCAGAGAGCGGACTGAGCCGCGTCTCCCGGGCCAGGCCAGGATCAGGACCGTCCCTGCCCGCCGCCGACCTCTGTCCAAGCCAGACCGGGAAAGGGCGCATCGTGCACACCCTCCCGGTGTGACAGACGCCGGGCGGAAGCCACGCTGACCGCTGGCCTGTCTGCACAGCAGGAGGGCCTGGCAGGGCTGCCTGCCTGCGCCCGCAGAGCGGCCGTGCGCATGGGGAGGGCCGGGTGGCCGGCTGTGCGCAGGGCTGCCGGCCCCGGGCGCCCGGACTCACGTAGATCTGGTGCTGCCGGTAGCGGGTCAGGAGGTTGTGCACCATGCCCGCCTCGTTCAGGTCCCCCAGGTGGATCATGTCGTCCACGCCCTGCGCCGAGTTGGGGTGCATGGGACTGAGGGAGCCGAGGTCCTCTGCTTGGACCCAGTGTTCCTGGAAGGAGGGCAGACTACCTGAGGTCCCTCCGCCACGGCCGTCCACCGTCCCAGCAGGTCACGGCGCCCCGCTCCGCCCGCGGCCTGTGCTCAGGGACCCGCTCCCGCCCGCGGCCTGCGGTTCAGGCCACGAAACACCTGGCACCACACCAGGTCAGGCTGGTTGGAGTCCGGGGCTGGGACAAGGGGCAGGGGGCAGAGGGCAGGGGGCAGGGAGGCAGGGGCAGGGGGCAGGGGGCAGCGGGCAGGGGGCAGCGGGCAGGGGGCAGGGGGACAGGGGCAGTGGCAGGGGGCAGCGGGGCAGGGGCAGAGGGCAGCAGGCAGCGGGCAGGGGGAGGGGGCAGGGGGACAGGGGCAGTGGCAGGGGCAGCAGGCAGCGGGCAGCTGGCTAGGGCTGAGTCTCAGACCAGGGCCAGGGAAGCTGTGATTGGGGCGGGCAGGCTCAGCGGGAGCCTCACAGATGGCTGGAATAACAGTATGCAAGTAAAAGTGTTTTCCACTTCATAACCTCATTTGCAAACAGAGATGGCTGTTAACACCAGACGGGCTCCCGTAGCAGGGCCACAGACTAGCGTCTAGGACCTGCTACCCGGAGCCAGGCTCCCGCCCCCGCCCCACGGAGGCTGCGGATTCGGCTCCCCATCTTTCCAGCTCAGCACCCCTACCGCCCACTCTCCGTGCGAGGCGGGGCTCCCGCAGGCCGCCAGGCCTCGCTGGGACAAACTGCCTCCTGGGGAAGCGCCCAGGAGAGGAGGCGCGGCACACTGACCTTGCCCTCGTCGTCTTCCACCAGGGTCCGGCCAGGCTTGAGCTCTTTGACGATGCCCCCGATGGCAACGCTGGTTTTGTCGGCAGAGCTGGGGAGCAGCCACACATGGTCTCCCTAGAGGAGAGAGCACTGCGCTGGACCCCTGCTCCACCTTCCCTTGTGCTCAGGACTTCCCTGGCGCCTCCTCCCTCCTCCCTCCTCCCTCCTTCTCTTCCCCTCTTCTCTTCCTCCATCCTCCTCTTCCCTCCTCCCTCCTTTCCTCCTCCCTCCTCCTTCCTTCTCTTCTCCTCTCCCCTTTCTCCATCCTCCTCTTCCCTCCTCCCTCCTTTCCTCCTCCCTCCTCCTTCCTTCTCTTCCCCTCTCCTCTTCTTCCATCCTCCTCCTCCCTCCTCCCTCCTCCTTCCTTCTCTTCCCCTCTCCTCTTCTTCCATTCTCCTCCCTCCTTCTCTTCCCCTCTTCTCTTCTTCCATCCTCCTCCTCCCACCTCCCCTCCTCCCTCCTTCTCTTCCCCTTTTCCTCCCTCTTCCCTCCTCTCCTCTCCTCCTCCCTTCTCCCTTCTCCCTCCTCCTTTCCCCTCCTCCCTCTTCCATCCTCCCCTCCTCCGCCCCCCTCCCTTCCTGGTCACTCTTGCCAGGATGGTGACAGGAAGTGCTGCAGAAGTGTCCCTGGCCAGCCTGGTGCTAAGAGAAGGACAAGCGGGATTGGCAGGACGCAGCCTTGGCCTGGGAACAGCCGGAAGTGCCAAGCCCATTGGCTGGGAGAAGTGACCACTAGCACCTCACTAGGTCTCTGCTGGCGGGCACAAACCTCCGGGCCCCCAAGCTTACCCCAGCCAGAGAAGAGTAATGCGGAGGGACCAGCAGAGGCGTGCTGGCTGGTGGCTGAGATCTACAAGGAGGGACAGAGCAGGGGACCACACCGGGAAAACAGACAGACCGACAGACAGCCGTGGGAGCTGTGACCAAGTATTTCATTTTGATTTCCAAAACCATACTGAGGTACAGACCAGAAGCAGACAATGAGCTGGTGAGACAACATAAAGGATGAAGCTCTGGCTGGCAGAGCTCAGACAGAAGTGGAGGAAAAGAAGTAAATACGCGTCAGAAAGGACAGCAAAGCTGGAAACAACACAGGGGGACAGACCAGCACCCTAGGGAGCTGCCATCCTGGGGGAGCTGCCGTCCCGGGAGCTGCCATCCCGGGAGCTGCCATCCCGGGAGCTGCCATCCCGGGGAGCAGTCATCCTGGGGGAGCAGTCATCCTGGGGGAGCAGTCATCCTGAGGGAGCAGTCATCCTGAGGGAGCAGTCATCCTGGGGAGCTGCCGTCCCGGGAGCTGCCACCCCAGGGGAGCTGCCATCCTGGGGAGCTGCCATCCCGGGAGCTGCCATCCCGGGAGCTGCCATCCTGGGAGCTGCCATCCCGGGAGCTGCCATCCCGGGAGCTGCCATCCTGGGGAGCAGTCATCCTGGGGGAGCTGCCATCCCGGGGAGCTGCCATCCTGGGGGAGCTGCCATCCTGGGAGCTGCCATCCTGGGGAGCTGCCATCCTGGGGAGCTGCCGTCCCGGGAGCTGCCATCCCGGGAGCTGCCATCCCGGGAGCTGCCATCCTGAGGGAGCAGTCATCCTGGGGGAGCTGCCATCCCGGGGAGCTGCCATCCTGGGGGAGCTGCCATCCCGGGAGCTGCCATCCTGGGGAGCAGTCATCCTGGGGGAGCTGCCATCCCGGGGAGCTGCCATCCTGGGGGAGCTGCCATCCTGGGAGCTGCCATCCTGGGGAGCTGCCATCCTGGGGAGCTGCCATCCTGGGGAGCTGCCATCCCAGGAGCTGCCATCCCGGGAGCTGCCATCCTGAGGGAGCAGTCATCCTGGGGGAGCTGCCATCCCGGGAGCTGCCGTCCCCGGGAGCAGCCTTACACATCTGACTTCCAGCCTCGGGGTGTGGAAGCAGGCACAGAAACCTGCAGGCGGGCCCAGCGGCCTGGCCTCGGGAAGCACTGTGTGCAGGGATTCCCAGAGAGCAGTGTCCTGAGCACCAGGCCAGACACCCAGCACGCTGTCTGACCGGCCCTGTGTCAGCGCGTCTGCACCAGAGGAAGCTGCGCCTGGGCAGGAGCCGTCCCTCCTCCCGAGCCCTGGCCTCGGGCTCCCATCAGACGCTGCTTAAGCTCCTGCCTGCATATGTGCTTACCAAATAGCTATTTTTATTTTTTATTATTAAAAAAAATATATATATATATATTATTGATTTTTTTTGCCCCCCTCCCGCCCTCCCATCCATACCCTCCCTCCCCAGAGTTTTATGTCCATTGGTTGTACTTATATGCATGCATACAAGTCCTTCGGTTGATCTATTATCTCCCCCAGATCTCCCTACCATACCTGCTGTAATTTGACAGTCTGCTTGTTGCTTTACTGTCTCTATATTTATCTTTTGGTTCATCAGTTTATAATGATCTTTATTATCCATAAATGAGTGAGGTCATGTGGTGTTTCTCTTTCATTGACTGGCTTATTTCACTCAGCATGATGTTCTCCAATTCTATCCAGGTTGCTGCAAATGATGAGAATTCCTTCTTTTTTATGGCAGCATAGTATTCCATTGTGTAGATGTACCATTGTTTTTGGATCCAATCATCTGCTGACGGGCACCTAGGCTGTTTCCAAATTCTGGCTATTGTAGATTGTGCTGCTATGAACATAGGGGTGCAAATATCCTTTCTGATTGGTGTTTCTAGTTTCTTGGGATATATTCCTAGGAGTGGGATTACTGGGTCAAATGGGAGTTCCATTTTCAGAGTTTTGAGGAAACTCCACACTGTTCTCCACAGTGGTTGCACCAGTCTGCATTCCCATCAGCAGTGCACGAGGGTTCCTTTTTCTCCACAACCTCGCCAACACTTGTCGTTTGTTGATTTGTTGATGTTGGCCATTCTGACAGGTGTGAGATGGTACCGCATTGTTGTTTTGATTTGCATCTCTCGTATAATTAGTGACTTTGAGCATGTTTTCATGTGCCTTTTGGCCTTCCTTCTGTCTTCTTTTGAAAATATTCTATTTAGGTCCATTGCCCATTTCTTAATTGGATCATTCATCTTCCTTTTATTTAGTTGTATAAACTGTCTGTAGATGTTGGAGATTAAACGTTTATCAGTGGTATTATTTGCAAATACGTTCTCCCACACCGTGGGCTTTCTTGTTGTTTTGTTGATGGTTTGTTTTGCTGTAAAAAAGCTTTTTATTTTGAAGTAGTCCCATTTGTTTATTTTCTCTTTAGCTTCCATTGCCCTAGGGGCAGTATCAGTGAAGAAGTTCTTTTGGCATACGTCTGAGATTTTGCTGCCTGTGGATGCCTCTAGTATTTTTATGGTTTCCAGTCTTCTGTTCAAGTCCTGTATCCATTTTGAGTTTATTTTTGTGAATGGTGTAAGTTGGTGATCTAGTTTCATTCTTTTGCATGTGTCTGTCCAATTTTCCCAACACCATTTATTGAAGAAACTGTCTTGACTCCATTGTATATTCGTGCCTCCTTTGTCAAATATTAATTGAGCATAGCGATTTGGGTTGATATCTGGGTTCTCAATTCTATTCCATTGATCTATATGTCTGTTCTTGTGCCAGTGCCAGGCTGTTCTAAGATCAGTGGCTTTGAAATACAGTTTTAAGTCTGGTATTGAGATCCCTCCTACTTTACTCTTCTTTCTCAGGATTGCTGTGGCTATTCAGGGTGTTTTATTGTTCCAAATGAACTTTTGGAGAGTTCTTTCTAGGTCAGTGAAATATGCCGTTGGTATTTTAATGGAGAGTGCATTGAACCTATAGATTGCTTTAGGAAGTATGGACATTTTGATGATGTTGATTCTACCAATCCATGAACATGGTATGTTTTTCCATCTCTTTACATCTTCCTCTATCTCTTTTTTCAGTGTCGTGTAGTTTTCCGCATATAGGTCCTTTACTTTCTTAGTTAAATTTATTCCTAGGTATCTTAATTTTTTTGGTGCGATGGTAAATGGAATTGCTTTTTTAGTCTCTGTGTCTGTAGTTTCACTGTTGGTGTATAGAAATGACATGAATTTCTTGGCGTTAATTTTGTATCCTGCTACATTGCCAAATTCATTTGTTAAGTCAATTAGTTTTTTAAATGGAGTCTTTTGGTTTTTTTATGTACAAATATCATGTCATCTGCAAATAAGGATAACTTTACTTCTTCTTTTCCAATTTGGATGCCTTTTATTTCCTCCTCTTGTCTAATTGCAATGGCTAGTACTTCCAGTACTCCAAATAGCTATTTTTAAATCTCAAGTAACTGTTGTTGGTCTCACTTTGGCCTTTTGTTTTTGGGTTAACAAAGTCAAAAGAAAATGAATACTTCGCTATAAATTATGGAGACCTTGTACCAGAAATGTGTGATGAGAGAGAAAATGCTGATAAAGGAAATGATGGAAGACCTACATACGTGAGGAGCCATATTGGGAGACTCAACACAGAGAAGGTGCCCACATTCCTGACCCAGCAGGTATCTGGGTAGACACAGAAAGGACCCTGAATACCCAAATGCTTTAGAACATGAGAATACATTAGGAAGGCTCACTCTCTGGTGTCATGGCTTATAATCTAGATCGGCAATCAAGGCCGTTGTAGTGTTAGTGGAGGGAGAGACTCAAAACAGGATCCAAAAGTAGCGCCCCCACATGGCACTGCTGTGCCACAGGCGCCAAGGCAGCTGGATGGAGGGAGAGCTTCCTACACAGCGGAGCCCCCCCACCACACCCCTCCTGGACCCACGCCTCACACCTACACTCCATGTGGACTAAGCACAGAACTAAAATGAAGCAAGAAGAGTCAACGGGAATGATGGAATCAGATGGAAATAAGCATAAGTGTAATTAAATATACCAATTAATCCGCACCAACAGAACTTCCTTCTGTGGATGTAATTGTTCCCCTCTCATAAGCACCCTGGCCTTGGTCTCTGCGTCAGAGCACTGTTTGGCTTCTGTCCGCGTCAGTGCTTCCTGAGGAGCCATTCCTATTGACCTCTCGCTGTGGTCTTCTACTTTTAGGTTAACAACAGGAAGAAGAAAAGCGAGCAAAATGACATAGAAGTTTTAAAAGATTAGGATCAGGAAGAAAAGAATAGCTATGGGAGACAGCAAAAATACAAGTAATTGGAGTTCCTCAAGAAGAAAACTAGAAAAAGAAAAAGATTATTTAAAGATATAATTTAAGACAACTTTCCAGAAATCAAAGCCTTGAACCTACAGATTGAAAACACACCAGGAAACAAAGACAAAGGAAAATAATCTGATTACTGAGCCCGGGTCCCCAAGTCAGAGAGGATTACTGAGCCCGGGCCCCACGTCAGAGAGAATTACTGAGCCCGGGTCCCACGTCAGTGAGGATTACTGAGCCCGGGTCCCACGTCAGAGAGAATTACTGAGCCCGGGTCCCACATCAGAGAGAATTACTGAGCCCGGGCCCCACGTCAGAGAGGATTACTGAGCCCGGGTCCCACGTCAGTGAGGATTACTGAGCCCGGGTCCCACGTCAGAGAGGATTACTGAGCCCAGGTCTGCTGAGGCCAGCTGGCCTGTTTCTCAGACTCAGCCTCCCTGGTGTCCCCGGGCCAGCAGCCTCTCTTCTGTCCCGCAGGGATTGGCTCCACCCCCGCCGCAGAGGGAGCGGGCGGCATGCTTACCAGCCTGAAGGCCGACATCCTGGACAGCAGCTCGGGGCCTGTAGACAGAAGGCAGGGTCAGTGCTCGGCCCCAACTGCCTGTAGCGCCCAGTGCTCTTTGGCCACAGGATGCCTGGTCGGGGGCCTGGGGCCTGGTTGAGGGGCTTGGGGGCCTGGTTGGGGGCCTGGTTGGGAGGGCTAGGGGCCCGGAGCCTGGTTGGGGTCCTGGGGCCTAGCCAGGGGCCTGGATGGGGGGTCTTGGGGCCGGGGCCTGGTTGGGTGCCTGGTTGGGGGGGTCAGGGGCCTGGTTGGGGTGTCGGGGGCCTGGTTGGGAGGGTGGGGGTCTGAGTGCCCTCGCCTATGACCTTGGTGATGGCCACCCACACAAACTACCACAAACCTCAGGAGGGGCCCCGCCCAGAATGACAGCTAAGCTGCCCTTAGCTGTGTGGCCCACAGAAGCTGCGTGAGATAGTAAATACTTGTACTTTAAGCTGCAGCACTTTGGAGTGATTTGTGATGCAGCAATAAAAAGCTAATCCAGGTCTCACGCCTTCATTCACCCTCACTCTTCTAGACATTTCTCCCTGCAGAGAGGTAAACTACAATGAGTTTTCTTGCCTCATTGACACCTTCCAGGTACTGCCCTCCTCATGTTTTTGCCCCATAGCTGAGCTGCTTAAAAAAGTTGCCCAAGACCTAAGGCAGCATAAGTAGAAGCTACACTAACCCCCTCCCAGGATCAAACTGGAATTACAACTAAATTATGTAAAAATCAACCTCAATAACCAACTGAAGACTAGCTGAAGAGGAGCCTTATAACCAAGACTTTACAGAAGTCACATCAGGAAGGAAGGGCAGAGACATGCCCCTGGGCACCTGTGTGGAGGTTTCAGTGATCCACAGTTTGTGCTGCCTTTTCTGGTTCTGGGCGCACAGGTAGGAAGGGCAGAGACATGACCGGGGCTGGCCAGGCTCCCACAGGCAGTGGCTGAGGTTTTGGAGGAGTAGCTCAGCTGAGGGGCGTCCCCCTGAGAAGGTGAGGCCGAGACCCACAGTGGCCCCCAGCCACTTGTGTGTGAGCCAGGAGGAAGCAGCCACAGGACCTCCAGCTGGGAAAAGAAGCAGGTTCCTGTCTGCCAGGTGGAGATGGACAGAGACACAGGCCTTCCCTTAAAGGGCCAACGCACAAAATTCCATTCATAGCCACTCACCCTGGGCTTTGGCAACGGCAGGGCAGAGTGGAAGAGAATTCCAGAAGAAGGGTCTGGGGTTGTGGCTCTGGGGGGACAGCTGAAGTGTCAGCCACTAATATCCATGTGATGAGTCATCCCCTCCACCAGAGACACCATCCTTCTCGGACAGAGCACTCCATCTCGCGGGCCCCATGCGGCCCGCAGAGGAGTCTGATCCGGCCCGCCAGGTTTTTTGGGCAGTGAGCGCAGCCGAGGTGTTACAGTAGGAATTAGTAGTTCATATAGTCCGGCCCTCCAGCTCTCTGAGGGACCGTGATCTGGCCCCCACTTTAAAAAGTTTGAGGACCCCTGATAGGGCATCAGTAGGGGAAGCAATAGCCACACCCTTTGGAGTTTCTCTCATCTCACCCTGCAGACCTTACACCCTGCTGAGAAGCTCAGCCAGGGCCTCTTTCAATTATAGCCTAACAGGCAGCCAGCAGGTGGAGGCATGTAGAGCCAGATCTCTGGGTGCTTTGCGTCTTTTGCCGAACAACCCTGGGCCCGGTTCTGGTAAAAGTCAGCCTTGGTGCATAGCTGGGTCCTTCTTGTGTGCGCCTAGAACCAGAAGAGGCACCACACACTGTGGATCACTGAAACCTCCACACAGGTGCCCAGGGTCAGCCATGGCGGCATCTGACATTGGCCTGCATCAGAGTCCCTCCCATGAGCCCCAAACCAACACACCCCGTGGCCAGCTTCGGACACTAACAGAGCAGGACCCAACAAACTTTCCGAGCAGCACATCCACAGGGAGATCTCAGCAAGCACAGCCCTGCAGAGACAGGTTCTGCACCGCGTGGTCAGCACTTGCACGGCACCTTGCCTGCCATGCTGGGGGGTTAAACCTCACAATCAGCCACTTGAGGGTCAGTCCCATGCACTAATGGGCAATAGCAATCAAGACTCAATTTTAACGGGAGGGCTCACATGACCCACAAAAAGGACATTCTGAGAGCACCCAGCTCAGGAGATTAAGGAGACTATGCCACTGGGTCCCACAGGACACCTCTTACACAAGGCCACTCTACCATAACTGGGAGTCATAGCAGATCTCCCTAATACACAGGACAAACACAAAGAGACAGCCAAAATGGGGAGACAAAGAAACAGGCCCCAAACTAAAGATCAATAGAATTCTCCAGAAAAAGAGCTAAATGAAATGAAGGAAAGCAATTTATCAGATATAAAGTTCAAATTAATGGTTAAAAGGATGCTTAAAAGCTTAAAATGGACAGAGATATTATAAAAAAGGACCTGTCAGAAATTAATACAATATCTGAAGAATACACTAGAAGAAATAAACAGTAGGTTTGATGAAGCAGAAGATCAAATTGGTAATTTGAAAGACAAGGTAGGGGGAAAACCCTCAATGAGAGTAGTAAAAAGAGAAAAAAATTATATGAATAGTTCAAGGAACCTTTGGGACAACATGAAACATAACAATATCCACATCATAGGGGTACCAGAAGGAGAAAAGGGAGAGCAAGAAATTAAGAACCTATTTGAAGAAATAATGACTGAAAACGTTCCTAACTTGGTGAAGAAAAAAGACACACAAGTCCAGGAAGCGTGGATAGTCCCAAACAAGATCAACCCAAAGAAGCCCACACCAAGACACATCATAATGAAAATGGCAAAGATTAAAGACTAAGAGAGAATCTTAAAAGCTGCAAGAAAAGGGCAGTTAGTTACCAACAAGGGAGTGCCCATAAGACTGTCAGCTGATTTTTCCACAGAAACATTTCATGCCAGAAGGGATTGACACGAAACAATCAAAGTGATAAAAAGCAAGGACCTAAACTACTTTACTCAGTAAGGCTATCATTTAAAAAAGGAGAAATAAAGAGCTTCCCAGACCAAAAAAAAGTTAAAGGAGTTTGTTACCACCAAACCAGTATTGTAAGAAATGTTAAAGAGCCTGCTAGAAGAAGATGAATAAATGGCAATAAATACGTTCCATTGTTAATCACTTTAAATGTACATGGCTTAAATGTTCCAATAAAAAATCATATGGTAGCTGAATGGTTAAGAAAACAAGACCCATATATATGCTGTCTACAAAAGACCCACTTCAGAACTAAAGATACACATAGACTGAAAGTAAAGAGATGGAAAAAGACATTTCATGCAAATGGAAAAGGGAAAAAAGCTGGGGTAGTAATAGTTATATCAGACAAAGCATACTTAAAATCAAAGACTATAGTAAGAGACAAAGAAGGATACTACATAATGATAAAGGGAGCAATCAAACAAGAGAATTTTAACACCCAATTGACATTAATGGATAGATCTTCCAGATAAAACCACAAGGAGATGGCAGCCTTAAATGACACATTAGATCAGATGCTCCATTGATATCTTCAGAGCATTTCACTCTAAAGCAGCAGAATATACATTCTTCTCAGGTGCACATGGAACATTTTCTAGGATAGACCACATATTAGGACACAAAACAAGTCTCAATTAATTCAAGAAGGTTTAAATCATACCAAGCATCTTCTCTGTCCCTAATGCTGTGAAACTAGAAATCACAAAGAAAAGAAAAAAACACACAAAGACTAAATATCATTTTACTGAACCATGAGATCAGAGAATAAATCTAAAGATATTTTGAAATAAATGAAAATGAGAACATAACAACCCCAAATCTATGGGACATAAGGAAAGCAATTCTGATAGGAAAATTTACAGCATTACAAGCCTACTTCAAGAAACAAGAAAAATCTAAATAAATAAATAAATAAAATATGACTTTACAACAGAATCCAAAATGACCCGAAAGGAGGAAATAATAAAGATAGAACATAAATAAACAAAATAGAGCCTAAAAAAATACTAAAGATTAACAGTTGGTTCTTTATAAAGATAAGCAAGATTTACAAGCATTTAGCCAGACTTATCAAGGGAAAAAAAATAGAAAAACAAACAAACAAATAAACTATGGGACTACATCAAACTAAAAAGGAAACCATCAACAAAATGATGGGATAACATATTTACCAAAGATACATCTAATAGAGGTTAATATCCAAAACTTATAAAGACTTATACAGCTCAACACCAAGAAAAAAAAAAGAAAAAAAAACCCAACTTAAAAAATGGGCAAAGGACCTGAATAGATACTTCTCCAAAGAAGACAAACTGATGGTCGGTAGACATATGAAAGATGCTCAACATCACTAACCATTAAAGAGATGCAAATTAAAACCACACCTGTCAGAATGGCTACCATCAATAAATCAATAAACAAGTGTTGATGAGGATGTGGAGAAAGGGGAACCTTCACGTGCTGTTGGTGGGAATGTAGCCACTGTGGAAAGCAACATCCTCAAAAAAATTAAAATGAAACATCTTATGACCCAATGATTCCATTTATGGGAATTTATTTTTTAAAAAAACACCCCAAAACTCTAATTTAAAAGAATGTGTGCACCCCTGTGTTCATTGCACTGATATTTACAATAGCTAATATTTGGAAGCAGCCCATGTCTATCAGTAGATGAGTGAATAAAACAGCTAAGGTACATTTACACAATGGATTACTAGGCGACCATTAAAAAGGTGGGAATTTTACCCTTTGTGACAGCATGGATGGACCAGGAGAACATTATGCAAAGTGAAATAAGCCAAGTACCATATGATTTCACTCATATGTGGAATCTAATGAACAGTATGAACTAGCAAGCAAAATAGAGACAGACTCAGATAGAGTGCAGGCTGACAGCTGTGGGAATGTATGGAGTGGCTGTTTTGGGGGGGATTGAACAAAAAGAAGAATAAAAGAGAAAGAACTCATGGACACAGACAACAGTGTGGTG